CTAAAACAAGTTCTAATTAAGATTAATAAGAATGAAAATTTAGGGATTAATCATAGAGTTTTGGTGCCTTAAAGTTTTGCAATTGAATAATTGTGTATGGCCTTAACCTAACTTTAACCCTAATAAAGAATTTTGACAAAAAAAAAAAAAAAGAAACAGCTATATGCTACTAATTATGAGTATTTATAGTAGTCTATTGTTGCTTTATGAAATGACAATAACATTTAACTTACAAATTTTCTAGAAAGAGTTTCATAAGCTATTATCACGTGGGTTTTTTTTTTTTTTTTTTTGTATAATTAGCAAAACACTATATGAATGCACTTGAATGCATTTTTTTTTTTTTTTTGTAGATTTACTCCCCAATGACACAAGAAGTTAATTACCTTACTTTTCAATAAAGTATCAAATATTACTATTACAACATCATTATTTATTTGTATAACTTGAGCTAAAATTATAGTTTTTATATAATAAATTTTGTTCGAATCTATTTTTTTTTATTTATACGAATATTGTTATACCTCAATCTTATATTAGGAGATTTTGAATATCTGTTATAATATATAAGTAAAAATTTAAGTTAAAACTTATAAGATACCTTTTGTGAGATAAAATTATAAGACTTTTGGATCAAAGCGAAAATATCAGAGCAATTATCAATTAAATATGAACAAAATGCTATGCCGTAAGTGTCACCTCTAAAATTTTACGAGAGCTAAGTGTTACATAATAAAAGTTACTTTTAGAATCCCCATCTCTTTTATGATCCTGTGATTTGTGTATTTTGTGTTGAGTTTGACAGAAACGTTAAAATTTAACGAGAGAGTTTGTAACACTCTAAACCTATATGAGGAGATTCTGAATATCTATTATGATATATAAATAAAAGCTTAAATCTAAATTTATGAGATAATTTTTATAAAATAAAATCATAAAATTTTCGGATGAAAACAGATAATATTTATTAAATTAAGTGCGAATTTTCACAAATACGTAAATATAAAATTAAACAGCCTAACTTGCCTTGTGGAAATAATTTCAACGTCAACAACGTAAACTGCATTTTCTCTTTTTATGTTTTCTACCGTTCACACAAATGAAAAAGTAGAAGTGACAAAAGCTTGTTATAAAGCTCTTGCTGATCACTTTTATCAGGTGAATAGCAAAATCCCACTGTTATTTTACCCCATCTCTGATCAACTTAAGTTAACTGTTATATTCAATCTGTGCAAATATCAGTCATGTTTTCCTTTGGTCTGCCATTTTTTTTCTTCAAAAAGCTTCCCAAAGCTCATATCACACTCTAGATATTGCCCAATAGTTACTCTTATGTAACAATTTTTTTACATGAAAGCTGCTATATGTACTCATTAGAAGTACCTAAGCCACTATATTCACAATATTTGGCATTTATTATTACTTTTTTAATATAATAAAGTATCTCAAATTTTATCTCAGATCTATTTTTTTCGAACGATTACATCTATTTAATATATTTAAGATTTTATTTTCAAAATATTTTCAATAATAAATCCTTAGAACTGTTTAATTGTACATGAATTTCACTAATTGCCTAAAAGACTATTGAGATAAGATGTATAAGTGAATTTACAATTGGAATGATTGAAAAGCATTTTATTTTAATCATGATATGAAAGCTCTCAAACCAACCTCTAATATGCTGATTTGTGTGGTAATCATGAAATGTGAGGTGTTGTAGGAATTAATATCCCTTTCTTTTACTAATAAATAAAACTTTATCCCCATCTTTTCAATGTAGAAAATACATCAAAATCCTATGTTTGCATAGATTAAATCTATTTAGATCAGAAAAAAAAAAAAGAGACAAATCTATGCATTGTGCTGTTTAAATATTAAAAAAAAAGTACTTAGAATGATTTTTTTTAAAACTAAAGCAATTTTTGTTTTAGTGCATATATGATCCAAAAGCATTTAATCATATGGCTAAAGTTATAAAACCAACTTTAGAAGAATATTTGCCACTTTGATAATGACAATCATGGATCATGGGGATTTGATCTGATCCAATTACTAAAGATATATCCTATATTGCTTTCAAGCTAGGTTTTCTTCAAAATCAAACACTGACATGAGAGATTTGCACAATTTACAAGTAAGATTGAAACATTTTTATGACCCATTTTTTCAAATAAATAAAGAAGGCTGATCAGTCAAAAGATTTAGAGTAGAAAAGCCATTTTTTAAGCTTAACCCCATGTCCAAAAAAGCATTTTGTTAAGGGTTATTTAGATTTTTTTTAGGGTATATATGTACCCTATGGTGGGGGAGAGGGGTCTTTTTTGTCACCATATTCACACACCTTTCACAGAGTAAAGAAAATATAAAGAAGGCATGGGGACAGCACTTTTTTTTCTCTCATGGGTTAGGCTTTTAAGGTGGACAAAACTATTATTTTGGTTGCTAAAGAAGGCTCCAAACTCAGAGAAAATCATTGTTCCAACAACTTTAAATTGCTGTATGTAGTTTCTGACTCTAGTGCTTGTCTGTATCTAAGATCAACTTGATTTAAATTTCAGATTCTTTTGATCATCCCCTTGACCAAAATACAAAACCTTAAAAAATAACAATAATCTTGCTTGGATTTATTATTATTATTATTATTATTTCTTGTGTCTAATATTTTTGCGTAAAGAACTGTATGAACAATGCAGTTGATAAATCTCGCAATCAAAGTTAAATTTCTTTGTATATATATCTTTCTGCATTTAAAAATATTTATTATTTTGAAAATCTAGTTATTTCTAAAAGAATGTTAATGTTTTATGGTTATTTCTTTTTATTTTGCTTTTATAAATGATGGCACTCTTGATCTTATCATATAGTTTTCTGATAAGATCATTTTTCTTTAATCTTTCGTACCACACATGCATTTCCCTGTGCTTTCCCATTTTTCAAAAGGTCAAACAAGCAAAGAATCACTGTAAAATTGTGAAACAAAAGCCTGCAGCATAAGCTCTGATCATGCTCTTTTGCCTACATTCATGTTTAAAAAAAAAAAAATCATATTTTAAAGATAAAAGAAAAAATTATAAATATTAAAATTTAAACTTTAAATTTATTAAATGTTATATATATAAATCAATTTAATTAAGTCTCGAACTCTATAATAATCAAAACCCGAGGCTCAATTAACCAGAAAGGTTACACAAAAACAACATATTACATATTTTCATAATTATTTCAATGGGAAATCTTAAGGATGATTAACATTGTTATACATATGGTTTCACCTACTGCTACAGGGAAAAAATGATTGTGTTTATGAAAAACATTGAAAACATATAATATGTCTTATAAATCTAATATTAGAAATAAGAATACAATGTCATTAGTCAAATCAAGCCAATGTCTAGTTGTTGTATTCATCATTTCACATCCTTTGAGGCAATGTTTTCTTCGTTAAACTTGCACGTCTTATATTAATAATTAACAATTAATTATGTTAAGTTATAAAAAAAAATTTTAATTTATGTAATGAACTAATTGTTTTGTCCTACACTTCTATTTTCTCCTTTTGCTTCAATTGGGTAAAATTATAAAGGCAAGACATTAAGAAAGAAAGAAAAATGAAAAATGTGAGATGTAATGAAGAAAAAGAAAAAATAAATTTTAAATCCAACACTTAAAAATTTGATACATTAATTTTAAATAAAAATAATAAAATTTATAGAATAAGAAAGAGTTGTTTTTAATTATACAATTAAGTAAAGGTATTCATAATTCGATTTTAATCTAATTAATTAATCCAATCAATTTAATTTAATTAATTGATTGATCATCAAATTTATTTTGATCGGTTACCAAAAATAATTTTTTAAAAATTTTTATTTTTAATTAATTCGATTCAAAAATCGAATTAATCGAAATATAATATAATTCAAATATAAAATAAAAAATACATGAAATTCATCATTTTATTTAATAAGTTGTTAAAAGTTTAACATAATACTGTAATATTTGAATATGTTGTTATATAATTTAATTTAATTTATTTAAAATATAAAAAATTAAGAATTTAAAATATAATTTAATTTAAATATATTTATTATTTGATTTACCGAAAAAATTAATCGAATTAATTGAATTAAATTTGATCTGTTAATTTTTAAAATTAATAAATTTTATTTGATTAACGAAAATAAAATTATATATATTAATAAATATATTTATTATTCGATTAACCGAAAAAATTAATCGAATTAATTGAATTAAATTTGGTCTATTAATTTTTTAAATTTATAAATTTTATTCGATTAACGAAAATAAAATAATATAATTTAGTAAATTTAATTTTAAATAATTCAATTCGAAATTAATTAAACTAATTGAATTAACACCCTACAATCAAGAAGTAGGAATCTTGGTTACAACATGTCTTTTATTGATTATTAATTTTTTTTCTTTTTCTTTCAAATGATTTAATTAAATATTTTTAAATTTGGCTAATAGTTTGTAACAAATTCAAGGGTGGCATTGACCTTATAAAGAAAAAACTTTTATCAATTCAAATAAATTTTAAGAAAATTTTATCTATTCAAATATCTGCTTACAAATTCAATTCTTTCAATATTATATAGAATATGTGCATGTGCAAAAAAATAGCACCATCTCAAACTCCAACATTTACAATGATTTGTTAAAAAAAAAAATTGTATCTTCTTTTAATCTATTAATCTATCGTTATAGATTTCATGAAATATAGCTGTAAATCACTTGGGAAGCTTCAAATGGTATAAAACCAAGTGATCCAGCTTAGCTCGTACTATCAGCAGGTTGATGAGACCCCCTCCCGCCCTCCCTCCCAATCCCAGCTGTTCTTCATTTCTTTATTTAAATCTTTCCCAAAGCTTAAAGAAAAGTGTTTCAATGTCCAACAACCGCCTTTAAACCAAGTGGTTTTTCTTTTTTTGTTCACAAACTAAGAAGCAAAAGTTTCAACTTCTCTCTCTGTCTGTCTGTCTCAGTTCAGTTTCTTAGATTTCTTCTGTTCCTTGAAGGATGAATAAACAAGAAGTTATGAAGATGCAGGTACCCTAATCATCTTACTTAGCTCTTTTTTCAATAGTAGTATAACCTTCTTCTTGTGTTGATTTGATTTGAACACTGTTTCTGGTTGTTTGGGGTTGCTTTTCTGTTTCAGACATGGGTTCTCAAAGTGAATATACAGTGTAGTTGTGATGGCTGTAAGCAGAAAATCAAGAAACTATTGCAGAAAATTGATGGTATCTATTTTAATTACATATATGGTTATTTCATTTCATTTCTAGCTAGATGGTTGAATTTCTTTTGCTTGCTTCTTTGGTTTTTTTTTTTGTTTTTTGGGTCAGGAGTGTATACTACTAGCATAAATGCAGAACAAGGGAAGGTAACAGTTACAGGAAATGTTGATCCAGCTATACTCATCAAGAAACTTGAGAAGTCAGGGAAACATGCACAGCTATGGGGATCAGCTCAAAAGGGTTCAAACAATTTCCCAAACCAACTCACCAACCAGTTCAAGAACATGCATATGGGTGGTGGCAAAGGTGGGAAGGACAACAAATCTCAAAAGGGTGGAGGAAATAATAACCAGCAAAAAGGTGGGCAGCAATTTGCACCGCAGCATATGCAGCAAATGACGGAAGGGTCTAATGATTTTAAGGTACCCTCTAAAGTCCAGAAATCTGTGAAGTTCCAGTTGCCTGAGGATGATTTAGATGAAGATGATGATGATTATGATGAGTTTGATGATGAATTTGGTGATGAGTTTGATGATGATAAGGAGGAGGAGGAATTTGGTCATGGACATGGCCACGGGCATCAAATGGAAAACAAGACGGGAAAGGGCCATGGGCCATATGGGCCCAATGGCATGATTAATGGCCCTGTCATGAACGGTAAAAAAGGAGGAGGCGGTGAGGATAATGGCAAGAAAGGCATGGTTGGGAAGCACGGTAATGAAGGAAAGAAAAGAGCTGGTGAAAAGAACAAAGGAGGGAAGCAAAACAAAGGGAGAGGAGATAAAAATGGTGGCAAAAAAGTAGGTGGTGGTTTACTAGGATGTTTTAAGAAAGTAGGTGGTAAAAAAGAATGTAGTCATAAGAAAGGTAAAATTGAATGGGATGGTAAAAATAATGGAGGCAATGGAGCTAAAAAGGGTGGGGGCAAAAATGAGGGTGGGGGCCATGAGATGAACAAAATTAAAAATGGTGGGTTTCATGACATTGATGTTATTAATCATGACAAAGGAGGTAGGAGAGGTGGTGGTGGTGGCGGCGGCGGCGGCGGCGGCGGCAGTAAAAATATGGGGCAGATGGGCCAAATGGGTGGTCAGATGGGTCAAATGGGTTATAATATGAACCAAATGGGACACTATCCAATGAGCCAGATGGGTAATTTTCCTGCAGTGCAAGGACTACCAGCAGCTGCAGCAATGAATGGTGGGTACTACCAAGGGATGGGGCCAGGAAATCCCTATAATCAACATCAATACATGACCATGATGATGAATCAACAGCGTGCAAATGGGAATGGGGGGATGTATCAACCCATGATGTATGCACAACCATATCCCCATGCATTTTATGGTCCCCCTCCGATGCATGCTGCAAATTCTGAATCTTATGTGCATTTCTTTAGCGATGAGAACCCAAACAGCTGCACTATCATGTAAAATTTTTGCTTCTCTAGAGTGTTTAATACAAGCTTGCAAGGTTAAAGAAGACATTGCTTATGTTTCTTGCCAATGGGAAAATTTTGTTTTTCCTAGAAAATCAACACCTCAAACTATGTAGAAGAAAATGTAGGTAAAGTTTGAGGGATACAGGAGGAGTAGTCAGAAAAGAAGGGGGTTTATAGTTCAGTTGCTTTCTCAAAAGATGTATCAAATGTAATTTTATATGATGTTGGTTTCAAATATATATATATATATATATATAATGCTAGGTATCGATCTTAGACATGATGATTTTTATATTTATATTGAGTAAAATATTAAAATTTATGTATTTATATTTAATTTTATATAAAAATTATGTATTATAATTTATATCGATACGAAAACATATAATATATAATTTTTAATTTTATTAAATTTATATATAATTATTATTAAAATTTTAAATTATATTATTTTTATATCTTATTTACAAAATGATATCGTATTTTAAATTGTAAACTGTAACATTAGAAAATGAGCCTATTCGGCTTTATCTTTTGGCTACAAAATTTTTAACTACAGCTTTGTGAAAGTGATTGTTTTTTCATACTTGTTCACTATTGATTTGTTCCAGGTTTATGGCCTGCCCCATTAGGCCATTTGTTTGTGTTTTCTTGTTTTTTGACGATTTGGGTAGAAGGAGCCATGAGCCCATGACCCAACTGCCACTACTTTATGCATTTGTGCCATGAGCCAGTGACCAAATGCCATTACTTTAGCCATTTATGTTGCAAATCAAAGCACTTGGTCACTTACAACGTTTTTTAAAAATTTTCAGACTAACTCTTTTGTATGAAAAAAAAAAAAAAAACCGACAATGGGTTCAATCCTCGGATATTTGGGCCGACAAGAATGTTAGAGGGCTATCTAGTCGGTCCTTCGAACCATTGTTGTAGGCCTAATTGTCAGGGTTTGCTTTAGAGTTGATTTTAGCCACCTTCTGGGCGATTTCATTGCCCACCTCAGGACCCATCTTCCCAGCAGCCGAACTGGCCGTAGCTCTCCTTCAGACCTTCACTGTAATTCCTATGCACCCTTTTTAGTTTTTTTTTTTTTTAATTTGTTGGAATCTAACAATTTTGCAGTCGAAAATTTTTAAAAAAAATAAAAATACTAAGATCCGACCTGTATATTTAATAAATACTAAATTTTAAAAATAATTATATAAATCAACCAAATAAAATTTCGTGTTTTTAATTTTATCGTTTTATTTTGATTCATGCAAACACACTCCGACATTTGAAAAAAAAAAAAAGTCAGCCCAATAGTTCAAACCTGAACAAACCAAACTTACATCAGTAGGTAATTTGATGAAAAGGGTAATTTCGTCACAAAACAAAAAAATAAAAAGGAAACAGGAAGACCGTACGAGAAGTAGTTTCCAAATCATTGGTCAACACCGAACAGAAAACTCACGATAACAACAGACGTTTCCAATCTCAGGTTAGCTTGTACGAGAAAAAAATATAAAAGAAAAACATTAATAACTGCCAAAAAAATTACTTTTTCTTCAATGTTCATTCTCTCTTTCTCTTTCTCAACCCTAAAAATTTCCAAAATTGGATCTTTTTAACCATACGGAAACTTACCCAATTTTACCCTTTTGATCTTGGAAGCTTCTTATTCTCTTTTGACATTTTTTTTTTTATTTGTCTCAGGTTCTTCTCAATCTCAATCTTTCAATTAAGATACAATTTTTCCCTAAAGGTATAAGCTTTTTGTGAACTTTCTTTTATACGTATAAAATACAAGCGTATGCGTATCTGGTTTGGTTTATGTTTTATTGGCTTTGTTTGATTGAATAAGCTGCTGATCAGTTACCATCTTTTGGTTCTTTGTTGTTTTTGTTTTTTCGATTTGCGAGAATTTTGTTAGGCAAATCATCATCAAAGTATCAGGAATTGTTTTTTATTTAAATTGGAGCAACATGTTTTTGTTTTACAGTTTTTATATTATGTTGGCTGTCATGGTCCTCCTGCAAATGCTGGTAATTTCTGTGCTTGATTCTCCATAGCAAGAAATTAGTGTGAGTTCGGGAAATTACAAAGAAACAAGGAAAATGATGGATGATATTCTAATTTGGATGTTTTAAATGCCATTAAACCTCCTATTGCAGGCTTTAGGATTGGGGCTAATCTATTTATCATGAATATCAATTCTGTCTATTACAAAAGCTTGAATCATCTTGTTCATCTGACTATTCTATTATTGATTTTATCAGGGATGATAATTGTGATATTCGACTTTATGAGTGCAGGAGACTTCATTTGTGACATTGAGTCTGATACTAATGTACTAATAAAGGGGATAACAACGGCTGGTGAGAAAATAATATGCAAGAACTTTCAAATCTTTCATACGCTGGCACAAAATCTATGCCCGCCTTCTCATTCCAGCTACCAGGTCCTGTTAATCCCCAAGAAGTTACTAGTTGTTTGGCTGATGGAATGCTTGAAGCCATTGTGAAATTGAGAAGTCTCTGATGCCCTGATAATGACTTTTCTTCCCCTGCATCCAAGTAATAGGGTCAGTTTAGAAAATATTTGGAGACCTAATATGAACTTGGTGTTTAACCTAATCAAATAGTTGGCAGTGATATCAATCATTTGAGAGCCCATTGTAAACAGCCTGTTGAACATTTTCACTTGAAAGTTGAAACAGTAAGAATCAAACTTAGTTGCAAGGATGGTAGAACTTCTCTCAAACTTGTTTTATCTTCAGAAATAAATCTTCATTTCCAAACTCCATTTATGGATATATTCATAAATTTTCAATTTATCTATTGTGTCTTTCCAATCACATACATTTGGACTGATGAGAACTCATTCCTTTCATATCTGCTTATCATTTTACAATGTATAGTTGAATGTTAGTTCCAATCAAAGAGCTGAGGACTTGCATGCAGTGCAACCATAATCAAAGGGGCATAAAAGCAATAATCCCAAACAAATAAATGTAGAATAACAAATTTTGCTAAACTCAATTGAACAATTCTGGAATTAATGATCGCCTTTACTCTCACAATGCCCATCTACCTCTTCTTTTCCCTCTCCTTACGATCTCAATCGAAGAATAAGAAGAAGAAGAAGAAGAAGAAGAAGAAGAAGAAACCCTAATGTCTTTAATCCATTTCATTGCTTCGTTTTTCCTTAACCCTAATCCTACAAAAATCCCAACACAACAAAACCCAAAAACCCAATTTTTATGCCCTCTTCTCCACTCCTTAATCAAAGCAAACACAAAAAAAATAAACCCAATAACCCCAAAAAGTAATTCACTTCTTAATTCTTTTCCAAACAACAAACACATAAAACAAGACCCTAAAAAAGCTAAGAATCCTAAAATTTTCTTCCCATTTCTTCTTTTTGTTGTTGGTCTTCTCCATCCATTAAACCCTATTCCTTTAAAGCCATTCAAAAACGCGAGCTCTCTTCCATCTCCACTGACCAAATTTTGAACGATCAGATCCAACGGTTGTGGTAAGATCTTGAGATTTGAAGCCAGAATTGAGATCAATTCAAGCACGAACTTAGTTGATCTTGCAGAACCATGTCTGCTTTTGCCTTTCCTTGCACAAATAATAGGTTTTTGGATCTGGGTTTTGCGTGAAAGCAAAGGAGAAGCGGTAAAAATGGGAGATTTCGATGAACAATTGAAACTTTGAAGAGAAATGCTCGTTTCAATAAATGGGTTTAAGAAAATATTGTTTCTGAAGTGAAGAAATTGGGATTTGAATTGAAGGCTCTTCTGCATTGTTAGATTTTTAGTTCTTGGAAACCAATGGGTGGGAGAAGAAAACAACGGAAAATTGAAGAAGTGAACGTTATAAGTTAATCCTTGATCTTTCTTTTTTAAATTTTTTGGGAGGAAACTGGGAACAATTTGTGATGGGTGAGGTTTCCTAAGCAGGCTTATGGTCCTATATTTGGGCCTATAAATCATCCACAACTTTTGATAAAGATTGAGGCTTTTGGCTATATCTTAATTGGGTTCATTTTGTTCAAAACCTGATCCACTACAGCCATCAATGGTCAACACCTATACTGATATCAGCCTTTTGAAACACGTGATAATAGAGTAAAGTTGAATTGATATAATAAAAAATTTGAGTTTGTTTTTAATTTAAAATTTATTATTTGATATTTAATTTTAATTTTTAAATTTAAATTTGATTTGAGATAAAAATTAAATTATTTAAATATGTATAATTAAAATTATTTATTAAAATAAATTTGATTTTAATACTTAATTTTAAATTTAATTATATGTTTCAACTTAAAATTATACTTAAATTAATATATATATGTAAAGATAAAATAATAAATTTTAATTAAAATAACAAAAATATATTAAAGTTCAAATATTCACTTAGCTCTCGAATTATTTCAATTAAATATTAAAATATTTAAATTCAATTTATTCAATAAATCAAATTATTTAAATTCAAATAATACAATAATAGATAAATCCAATTTAAATTTTATCCTAATTCAACTCAATTAACTTGCGCAGATATTTCATTTAAGCCCCTAAGTGGGCCTTATGGCCCATCAACACCGTAACGGCGTCTAAAACACAAAGCCAGAGCTTTGGAGGAGCAGAGGAGATCATAGCGAAAAATTCCCAATGAACCAGGAAGAAGAAGTTGACGAACCCGGGTCTTGCCCTTCACAACAAGACTCGAACCCATGTCCAATCTGCCTCGGGCCCTTGGTTCAGGAATCCTATCTCGATACGTGTTTCCGTACGTCTTTCTTTCTTCCTCTATGTTTCTCTCTATGCAATTTGAATTCTTGATCTTTTTAGTGAAATCACGCTCCAATTTTCATTTAGATATTCCTTTTTTGCTTGTGTATGAGTTCTGAATAGATAAAGTTGTGGTTTTGGTTGAGTTTTATGAGTTGGGTGCTTTAGTATTTTGATGTAGGAGGAACCCTTTGCACAAAGGATTAATCTTTGGTTTGCTGAAAGCTAATAGATTGATAAAGAGAAAATCTTTTACATATTTCTATCTCAATTGAAAGTAGATTGGGTAGAGATTTGTGGGTGTTGAATAAAATTTGAAGTTGGCATTGTTTTTGGTTAATTGAAGAGCTCGTATATATGTATGTTGAACTAGTGAATTATGGTGGTTCACCGTTCTCAATCTTGTGTGTCAGATAAGTTCTGTTACAATTGTATTCTACATTGGAGTAGGGTGGTTGCTAGCAAGCGGTCTCGCCCATCTGCCTCTGTAAAATGTCCTCTATGCAAGGTTTGTTTTCATTCAAAACATTCTTCTATTCACGTCCCGGCCACTCATTTTGATGAATGTTGGGGGGTGTTGCTCTCCTCTTCAATTGTGTTCATTCTTCAGACGTGATTTTCATGTAAAATTTTGTCTCTCTCGGTGCTATGGTTTGACAAATTTGCAGACAGAGAACTTTTCAATAATCAGTGGGTTTGATGGAACTTGTTTTCAACGGCATTATATAAATCAAGATTTGGGGGATAGGTATCTTATTTTGTCTATTGGTTTTCTCAAGTTCCATTTCATATTGTTAGATGTCTTATGTGGCCTACCTTTATTGGTATGTGCAGATTTACCTTTTCAAAACAACACAAGTATAGATTGCAATGCTATTACAATGAACCAGGTTTGGTATTATTTTGTCATTTTCATTAACTTTGTTTTATTTATTTTTCTCTGCTTTGTTTGATTTTCCCCAGGAAACCCACTAGGTTTTATGTGTATCAGTTTTTCATTAAATTGTGTTTCAATCAGGTATCTTAAATGACATATTTAATGTATTGCGGTTTTGGAAAACTCGGAAGTATCTTCAGTCAAATATGTGGCTCCAAAGTTGGTTGAGAAGGGAACTTCAAGCTTTAATGCAGGTCTGTATGTTTGCCATATGCATTTCCTTGCATGCTTCAAAATTCCAGAACAATTATTTTCTTTATTTATGTTAATATATATTTTTGAACATGCTGCATGATCAATAATTAGTCAAACAGAAATTCCTACAAGAAATATATCATCTGGCCGGGAATATGTTGTGACTTGCTCTTACTGGGTAAAACTTTTATGTGCTGAACTAATTAAACTTCCTTTGGCACTTAATTCCTAGGAGGAAGATGTTGATATTGTTGTGCATCACATACATGGTGTGATTGATTCATTCTTGAGAAGGTAATAATCATTACTACTTACTCATTCAGTTGTTTGAAGTACAATTTTATGGAAACCAATTGACTGGTTCAATCATTGAAGTCTAACCTGGTTTTTTGCATTTTCCAGAATTGAACAGTCACGTCTATTAAAGAAACCTACTGAAGCAACACAAGACGACTTCAGGATTGCTGTCTCTGATGCAGCAAAGCCATTTCTACTAGCAAGAACAGATCGGTTTGTGAATGAGCTAGAATTATTTCTTGCTTCAGGGTTGAACATTGAAGCCTATGATGCAGTTTACATGCAACGCTTGGGTTGGAATGCTCCGGGAGGAAGCATTAGCAGTAAGCCTGCAGAAGAATCTAGTCAACATTTAGGAATAGTACCATACCTGTATATCTTTGATGTGGATTCTGATAAAGATGAATGAAATTTCCATTTGTAACGTAAATAGATTTTGAAATGTTTTCTACTCAGGTAATATCCGTGTACATACATGGCAGAAAGCTTAGAGTACAGAGCTTTCATGGGGAAATTTACTCTCCATCCAAGCACGTCACCTCACGGTCATCACCAACTTCCCTTGAGTAGCCTAACCTTTGTTTCAAAGACATGTTAATGCATGTTCTTATAAATTAGAAGTATTGTCTTTTGCAACTTTTCCTCATGAAATTGAAATCACTCTTTCTGACCATGGAGGCCAGATATTGGCTAACTCAAGCAAGAACAGGCCGATTTGTGAATAAGTTAGAATTATTCAAGTCTATGGTGCAATGATGCAAATCTTCGGTTGAATTATTTGAACCTGAAGAATAAGAACATCTTCTAACATTGGGCTGCAGCCCCGTGATTTCTTATCTTTGATTGCTCCAAATTGATCAATCTAGCCATTGCATCTAGCTTATCATGACTAGCAATGTGAAACCATTGAAATGGTCTTAGAAATTTTCAACTGTACAAACTTCCAAAAGCCACCTACTTTCTACTCTACAAAAACAAAAGGGTAGAAGAGTCATCGCACTGAGAAATAATGCTGTGCTGACAAGCCATCCTAAGATGGCACTTTTTATCTTCAAACTGGCAGTTCTTGCCCTGGCAACCTCACTTCGCTGACTGAAATACTTGAGAACGTGGAGAAGAACAGTTATAGACATGGCAAAAAACTTCGAATTTGGAGCCTTCATGGAGAAATTTATTCTCCAACAAAGTTCTTCTCCTCGACAACTTCCACTCAGTGGCCTCACTTTTGCTGTTAAAGACATGTGAGTCATTCTCTTCTATCATCTTTTGTATGTTATGGTTACTGGGTAACTCAAAGCATGCTCCTTGGTTTCATGTTTTTTAATGCTTTTATACCATTTTTTTTTACTTTTTGAGTCCTCAATGTTATTGTATCTATAAAAGCTTATCGGTCTAGGTAATTGTTATTGAATTGAATGCCAGTGTCTACGAGCTAAACTTAAGATTGCAGCAGTTTGAGCACTTGGGTCATTATATTATGCTGAAAATCTGTATATTTGCAAACTTATAAATCAATTTCAGCTTTTAAGTATTGGTCTCTTGGTGCTTGAAACTAATTATTTAAGTAAAAATTGGAGACAGATTTGATGTGGATGGATATGTCACTGGGTTTGGAAACCCTGACTGGAAAAGGACTCATTCAGCTGCCATAACAACGGCACCAGCTGTATTGGATGTCTTAGAGGGAGGTGCCACTTGTGTTGGCAAGACTGTCATGGATGAAATGGCATACAGGTTAGAAATTTTTAGTCTTTTTTCCTTTTTTTTTACAGCATTTAAATTTCTTTTCATAATTTCACCATATTTACCGGCCATATATGTGAACAACTGTTTCCTTTTTTCAGCATAAATGGGGAAAATATACATTATGGCACTCCCACTAATCCATGTGCACCAGATAGGGTACCTGGAGGATCTTCCAGCGGCTCTGCTGTTGCAGTGGGTGCAAGGCTCGTGAACTTCTCCCTAGGTTTGTATTCCTTCTTAAGTGAGGACTGTGTTTTTTTTTTTTTTTTCCATAGTGTTTTTTAACTGATTTTTGTCTATAATATAGGAACTGACACTGGAGGAAGTGTTAGAGTTCCTGCATCATATTGTGGGATTCTTGGGTTTCGGCCTTCACATGATGCTGTCTCAACTTCTGGAGTTATTCCTATGGCACAGAGTTTTGATACCGTGGGTAAGGATCGATGGCACCATCTTAATATCTGTTCTTTTAGAGAAATGCATAAAAGAACTTTTGGTTCTGATTAATTATACAAGTACATCTGAAAAGCCTAATGTGAACATATGGTTTAATTTATAGAGCTTCTTGATTTGATGAGTCATTCTTCTAACATCAGTTCTAATGTAGGATGGTTTGCTCAAGATCCTGTGGTTTTGAAACAAGTTGGATGCGTCCTGCTGCATTTACCTAATGTGAATCCTGTCACACCTAGTCAGATTATCATTCCAGAAGATTGTTTCAGCTTGTCAAGCATTCCAAGTGATCGAACAATTCAAGTTCTTGTAAAATCAGTGGAGAAGCTCTTTGGAGGTAATAATCACACTATTGGCTTCTGTTATTGGTGAAATTCAACAAGTGAACTTGTGAAAATTCATTTATGGCATGGAGACGATAGAATTTGTTCAGGCTTAGAAGTTGGAGGGCATCCTGAGTCACACGTAAAAGTGATTATGAGATAGAACTTGGCTCAGTAAAAATGGGATAAGGAAGTATTGTGTAATATTTTGTGGTCCAATTCATTTCAATACCGAAATCAGTTTGTTTCTGCAATTTATCTATTTGTCAGTGCAGGTCAAATTCTAAAGCATGTAGTTCTCGGAGATTATGTGAAGGCAAAAGTACCGAGTTTGCAGAATTTCATGACCAAGGGGAATGAAGAACATGCGTATAATATTCCATCTTTGGCCGCCCTTTCAAGTGCAATGCGATTGCTTCAAAGGTGCAAAGCATCTTGGGACTTCTAACTGATTCAGTCAACCTGAATGCTAGTTCTCATATCGTTCAGGATCATGCTAGACGAAGAGCCTTCTGACTATTGACTCCTGAACTTGATTTCTGTTTCATAGGTATGAATTCAAGAATAGCCATGCTGAGTGGGTCACAACAGTGAATCCTAATTTTGGTCCAGGACTATCTGAGAGGATATGGGATGCCATTAGAACACCAGAGCAAAACATTGATGTCTGCCACTCTGTGCGGACTGAATTACAGGCTGCTCTTACAAGTCTTCTTGAGGTACTCACTCTTTCTTCATAACTAGCTAAATACTCCACTATTCAAGCCTGTGATGATTGCAGTAGCCTGGCTTGATGAATGCTGATATGACTATCTGAGAGGACATGAATGCTGTATAACTATGATTTATACATGAATCCATGTGGTGGATTACTCTTTTCAGCTAACCATGAGAAACTGAATTTACTACATACTATTGTTTCTGCTTTGAAAGGAGGACAAAGCGATATAGGATTATTTTAATCCCATTGATTCGATTCTCCTTTAGGCAAGCCTTTCAGTTGATCAAAATTAGAAAAAGAAATGTCATGCTACTGATATATAATTTTTTTTCAGGATCAAGGCATCCTTGCTCTCCCTACTGTTCCAGGGGATCCACCAAAACTACAAACAAATCCAGCCACGCTGGAAGTATTTCGTGCTAGAGCTTTTAGCTTGCTATCCATTGCTGGAGTATCTGGATTCTGTCAGGTTCTTTTTCACTCTCACTCTCCCCCCCAAACACATTCACTCTGAAATTTCCTGTCTTCAATTAATCATCTTGTTTACAGGTCAGCATTCCATTGGGGATGCATAATAATCTTCCTGTGTCAATCTCCTTGCTGGCAAAACACGGTTCAGATGCTTTTCTGCTTAATCTGGTTGAGACTTTATATGACACCATCCAAGAGGAGGCTGGAATTGCTGAGAGAATGAGTAACTGAATTCTGCCCAATTCAGCCCTTTTGAAACTTTTTTCCTTTTCCTTTTCCTTTTCCTTTTCACTACATTTGGCATTAACTGCCATCTTCATTAATCATATATGTTCAACTGGTGATGCATATAGCTCAGTTCTGTTAATGATTGGCTAGCAATAAGATTTAATCTCCAAATCAGTTGAAAGATACGAGAATTAAAAATTTAAAACTCAATCAAACTCGCCCTTGAATACATCATGGAAGATAATCACTTCCGGTTTCAAGATTGGAACTCGGAACCTTAAAAATCTCAACTTTCGGGATTCGAACTCAAAACTTTCAAACTTTCAAAATCCCAAAGTTTTAATTGTTTGAATGTTTGGTATCCTCTCAAGGACAAACCATGAGGATTTCATTTTTGTTTCGAGTCATATCCATGTCAATGCTTTGAACCAACCTACAAGATTTTCAAGCAACCCAAAATTGACCTATGGTTTCGCAGGTAGACTGCCACTTCTGAAGTTCTCCATGTCAACTTTATTTGCAGCAAACTGAATTCTTCATTCAAACATGTTGCTGAAAATTGACGAATGAATTCACTACCTTTAATATATAGTCTTACAAGAACGGTCACTTTCTTTTGTAGATAAAATTATAAAAATTTATTTAATTCCTAATAAATTAGTCTTATGAAATATGAAAAAAAAAAAAAAAAAAAAGGGGTAGGTGGCCCTAATCAAGGGCTTTTGACTTAAAAAATTGTAGTAATAAGTTTTCAGGACAGGCCCACGCGCCTCAGGTAAGTGCATTACGGCCCATATTATATTATAAATAAATAAAAATTCCTTTGCATTTTATTATTTACAATATTAAAATTTTATCAAACTCAGTTCTTTGAATTAAATAATACATGCACATATTATTCAACATAACATTCATATAAAAAACCATAAATTTGCCTTTTAACTTTTATGAACTTTTATACATAATGTTTAAAGACCTTTTCTAGGTTATATGAAAAATAATTAAATAAAATATATTTTAAAAATAAATAGTTAATGTCGATACAAGATAATTTACGATAAATATTAATGATTTAAATAATAAATCAATAATTTTTTGAATTTTATTATGTTATACTAAAAGTTCGATAAAAATTTAGAGACTTGCATAAATCATATAAAGTAAATTAAAGATTAAATAATTTAACTAACTTTAAGTAAATATTTTTTTATTATTTTTCTAACACATTGTAGGTGATGGCATGTGACACGTACAATCATTTATTATTCAATGCTATATTTAATAGTTTAAAATTTATTTTTAATTTAAAATTTAATTCAATTTGATTTATAAAATTATTCTTAAAAGATGACATTCAATAAATTTAAATTTAAATTTTAATATTTATAATTTTTTTATTTTCAAATTATAATCTCTTTTATAAAAGAATTAAAACTTATTTTAAATAGTAAAAAATTACATAAAATAATTTTGAAAATTACTTAAAATTTCTATTTTTATATTTTACCTAATAAGAATAAATTTGTTACAATGTAATACCAAACTCTAACACTATAATTAAAATATCTGAATCTTATTTTCTTCAAACATGTTTTTTTATAAAAAATTTTTAACTACAATAAGAAATTTAAAACTTTAGAACCCTTTCAAAAAAAAAAAAAAAAACAAAAATAAGAATAAAATACCTCTATGTGATGTGAGTATCGTAATGGTAATTTTTGATAATATATAATGGTAATTAAAAAATAAAAAAATTACTAAATTTAGAGTTGAGAAGTTAACGCGCCAGCGAGTCGAGTGGGCATGACATCAATCTCACGTAACAAAAACAGGAACAAAACGAGCAAGACAAGAACGGGAATCAAGGCTGCTTTGGTTGGCGCGGAAAGTACCATATCTTTAACCCAGCCTCCTTCCCCATCAGATCTCGGTCTTCCCCTTAGATTTAGTTGAGCATCCTCCGCCGGTGGCGTTGCCTTTACAGCCTCCAAGGCAAAGCCCAGGCCTCAACATACTCCCTCTTTTCCTTTTCAATCACTGATCCAACCTTTGACACCAACTGCTTCCAAATTGTAACTCAAAATCTCTTTGTTTGAGAAAAGAGTTGATTTTGACAAAACCCAATAATCATCATCAACTAAGAAACTCAAATTTAACATTTTGGATTAAAAAAATGGAAAGAGAAAGAGCTGGAAAGATGGAGATAACTACCAGAGCTCCAGGAAAGATCATTCTCGCCGGTGAACATGCTGTGGTTCATGGATATACTGCTGTTGCTTCCTCCATTGATCTCTATACTGTTGTCTCTCTTCGTCTTAGTACTGGTAGCTATCGCTTTCTCGTGTTTTATTTATTTACATGTTACGTAAGTTTTGATCCTTTGATTTTGGGGTGTTATGATGATGTTTTTGGTGATTTTCGGGTTGAATTGGATGGAATGAAGTTTTATTTTGAGTTGGGTTGTTTTTAGATTATGTAAAATGTTGATTGGCAGATACCCTTTTGAGATTATGTTAAGTTTTACAAGTTTGCTTTTATGAATTTGTTGCTCATTATTATTTGCTTTTGGTGATTTTTAGGTTGAATTTGATGTTATTTTAGTTTTTGATTATGTTAAATGCTATTGGAAGATTCACCTTTTGAGATTATGTGAGGCTTTATTGTGCTTCTGCATATTTTGGTGCTGACTATTATTTGTTTGTCTTCAGTCCTATCGTTTTTGTGATTGAATGAAATAGTGATTAGGATTTGGGGGACAACCGTTTAAAACTATGTGAAGATATGTTTCATTTTTGTAGATGTTGCTTTGGCTGTGTTTGTTGGTTGTTATGTTTTGAGCAAGATAAGTGTGTAGGAACAAAGTTTCTGAGATTGAGCTGATTATGCCTTGCTTTTAATGAGGATCCGATAAGGAATGCAGATTATTAGATGGGGGCATGTCGGATTTGGTTTTAATCCATGTTAGAGGTAGAACGTTTGGTAACTTTCTAGTTTGATGTGTGCATATGGTTGGCTGCTAACTTGTTCACTTGCATGAACTAATTTGCAAACAGTCACCTCTTGCCTCTTCTGATATTTTTGCTTCTGCATCTAAATTTAGTCTCAACATGAGCTCTATTGCTAATCTTCCGTTTTTGTTTCACTATTAATCGCAATATGTTCTGGCAAGTGTTGCCAGGAGAATAAAAGCATTTAAAGGAAATTTGAAGTTTCCATGCAAGGGTAGAATAAAAAATCTTCTCTTTAAGACATTTATTTCTATGATTATCTACAGTCAAACTAATATCATTATAATTACATGCTATCAAGCTTAGCTTGGTTGAAGTATCCTCTCTGGACTTTCCTCGGTTTTACTTGAAATTATTAGTTTAAAAGTCAAAATTTGATTCTCTCATAAACGTTCTTGGTCAACTGATCCAATTTGGTATGGAGATAAAAGGATTGATCTAACTTGGTTTTTTATTTGGATAATCTTTTGGCACTTAGATCAGATTTGTAACTTTGTTTTGCAATCTAATAATTTTTTCTTTTTTTTATTTGTTTTTCTTGAAATTGTTTGGTGATGATGAGATCTCCATTGACTTTATTTCATTTAATCATGTTTACTCTTTCCATAGAGGATGAAGATACGATAAAACTTCAGCTCAATGACATTGGATTAGACTTTTCATGGCCAATTGAAAGAATCAAAGAAGTGCTATCTCACTTAGGTTCTCCATTTTCCTCAACACCTACAACATGCTCGCTGGAGACTGTTAAATCTCTCACTGCTCTAGTTGACGAGCAAAGTTTCCCCGAGACAAGGATTGGACTTGCATCCGGGGTTTGTGCATTTCTTTGGTTGTACACCTCTATCTTAGGGTATGTATGTGGCTTGGTTTTCTAACTAACTTTTTTTCTCTCAATGGTCTAGTTTCTGACATATTGACCCTATGAGTCAGGTTTAAGCCAGCTACAGTTATTGTTTCTTCTGACCTTCCGGTGGGTGCTGGCCTGGGTTCATCAGCTGCATACTGCGTTGCACTTTCAGCAGCTCTGTTAGCTTTTTCAGATTCTGTGAAATTGGACGTAAACCAAAAAGGATGGTTAATGTTTGAGGAGACTGAGGTTGAATTGTTGAATAAGTGGGCATTTGAAGGGGAGAAGATAATTCATGGACGGCCCTCTGGAGTTGACAACTCGGTGAGCACATTCGGTATGCAACTTGTTCTAATAGATCATAAATACGCATTTTTTCCTTCAAATTCTTTTAACTATTAATTTATTTTCCCTCTATCATTGCATCACTATCCTGGTCTGACCAGGATTGGGACAAAATTGAGTTTTAGAACCAATTTGGTAACATCAGAAATCTAAAAAGAAGGTTAGACAGAGTAAAGACCCTCATTATACTAGCCTAAACAAGGTGTGCTAGATCATTGTAGCCAACCCCCTATTTCACAAAAAAGTGATAATGATTTTGTTATTCCTTCTGCTTGTAATGATTTTCTTTGTGAACTTTCTTTTTCATACACTTAATGCATCTTCTGCTATAATTAGACGAATAAGACTGGCAAGCATCATTTTTGCATTGATGTGGGTTCATATATCCTCAATGTCATTGAAGGTTATTTTATTACCTCATAAATGCAAGATACGTTTATCTATGTGATTAATTTATCTTTTTCACGGAACAGGCAATGTGATAAAATTCAAGTCAGGTAATATGACCCGAATCAATTGCAATATGCCACTGAGAATGCTCATTACCAACACAAAAGTTGGGAGAGATACGAAGGCATTGGTTGCCAATGTTTCAGCAAGGAAATCAAGACATCCTGATGCCATGTGTTCTGTGTTAAATGCCATTGAATCTATCAGTGACGAATGGTCTACCATCATCCAGTCACATGCTGTGGATGATCTATCTTTATCCACAAATGAAGAGAAGCTGGGAGAGTTGATGGAAATGAATCAGGGTTTGCTCCTTTCTTTAGGTGTTAGCCATGCATCTATAGAAATTGTTCTCCAGACGACAATGAAGTATAAGCTAGCTTCCAAGCTGACTGGAGCCGGCGGAGGAGGCTGTGTGCTAACACTCTTACCAACCCGTATCCTCTTTCTTATTCTTTTTAACTTGTTTATTTATACCTGTGCCAACTATCATTTTTGTCTTCTCTATGATGAAACCTACAATTTAAAGGCTTACACGGATTGATAAGTTCGTACTCTTTTGCAATAAAATGCTTTCCCTTGCCTTTCTCTGCCCATTGAAATGAATTTATTTTTCTACTCATCTCTGTTCGATTTGTTTTCCGTGTGAAAAGGCAGAGGATCAAAATAAGATAGGCTTTGATAAATACTGCTTGTTGATGTTTCTTTTTGATTTGCATAAATCATGATTACTTACATTTTTGTTTACAGTGGTATAGTTTGCTGCTTGAATCTCCTATTCTTTCACTTGTTCCCTTGATAACATGAATCAGAACTATCAGGAGCAGTCGTGGATAAACTAGTGGAGGAGCTCGAATCATACGGGTATCAGTGTTTCACAGCTGGAATTGGTGGTAAAGGTGTCCAAATTTCCTTTGATGGTTCTTCCTGATTCCCCTCCCCATGTCTCAGTTGTAATAAGTTCTCTCTTCAAATAACAACAAAGCAGATGATCACAATGTTATAGCTATTTCTGTTCACTTCTTTTTCCCGTACCCTACTTTAGATGAGCTGGTTCCTAGTTATCGAAAAGAAAACTACTGCTACAGAAAACAATCTTGTAGGCTGTTTCTGTTAACCTCTCTACATTGGTTTGTTGTTGAAACTACTGCTACAGAAAACAATCTTTGCTGTTGAATGTTGCAAGCTAGTGCAGTTTTTGCCATTATAACATCGATGCTTTCTGTCCTGTTTAAAAAATTTCACAGGCACCAATTGAGATCTATGGTTTTTGCATTGGCAGCATTGGCTGTAAAATGTTGCATATTCAAGCCATTTTCCTTCGAAGTGAGGCAGCTTCTTAGTCAAATCTTTGTTGGAATTATTGATCTTTGCTTTGATTTGTGAACAATATTTAACACTGACTCATAATTTTGATCATTGTAGCCAATATATGATATATATTCCTAAGATTTTGCAGATATGCAGCTGCACATACAAGTATCGTACAAACCAAAGATTCATTTCTTAGAAATCCAAGAAAGAACTATGAGTATATAAATCCAAAAATATATTGAAAAAAAAAAAGTCTCCAGGTTTTGTGTGTGGGAGACTAAGAGCTATAATCAACAGCATATATATATGCAGCTTCTCAAGGATACAGAAATATATTTATATATCAGTTGCCTGCAATTTGCATTGCTACCTGTTGTGCAGTGGATCAGGACTAGAGGGTACTTTTCTGTCAATGGTTGAAAAAAAGCCATCGGTCCTGCTGTCAGGATTTTCCTTCCAAGTTATCTGAGGCTTCTCTTGGTCTTCCAACTTCTCTGTTAGAAATCTTGCTTCCAAGACCCCATGGTTTAGAGCTGAAATACTCAGCAATGTCAATAAAAGATACCCTACTAAACCCCTTGGGAACATGGTCTCTCTTATAGAACAAGCTAAAGGTGGAGAATAAAGATAGAGAGAGTTTAAGTTGGTAGAATCAATATATAGGGGAAGAAAAGCCAAATATTCAGATGGTGTTTTGCGTGTAACAGTGAAAACTTTTTTGGTCAGATTGCTTTGCATTGACAATGAGAGGGTTCTTTTGACTTTTGCTTGGGTAACTTTCCATTAGAGGAGCCCATTGAAGCAGGTAGCACTTGTCTAATAATTCTGATTACCAAGTTGACCCCATTGATAACAGTGTAAGAAGAAAACCCACTACAAACTATGTTTCAAAATAAATTTGTCCTGGGAAGTTAACCAAGTTACCTAGTACACTTTCCAAATTGCTAATACCAGTCAATGTACCATGTATTGTATACGCTCGTGATCTCTATTATTCGGATTTAGAAACAAAGTACTTGATACGAATATGTATTCGACTTGAATACGTTTAAGTTTTTAAATTTCTTTGTATATTTAGAAGATCGGTTTCTATATTCATGTTAATCGAATATGTATTGAGTACAAATTTTTTTAAAGAAAATGAAAATTGGAAATCAAATAATTCAAGGAAAATGAAGGGCTCATGTGATTAAAATTAAAGGGCAATTTAGAGCTTTCGAGAAATGGTCAAGTCATTTACACCGACTTGGTCCATTCCAGTCCAAAATCCCAGACCATTCCAGCCAATGACACTCAATTTTCAACAGATGAACAATAATTTAAAACCAAACCTAACTTAAATATTGTCTCCCAAGGGACCTCATTTTCAGGATCTTACATTGGACTCTTACTTGGGTTGTTTTCCCCTTTCTTCCTTTTCCTCTTCTAAAGATTAGATTTTTTATATGTCCATATTATAATGCAGTTTTCAAGGGCTGCTAAGGCTCACTTCCCATTTTTTATTGTATTTTTTCATTTGTTTATACGTTTTTGTGTTTCAAAAACAAAGGTCTTGCCTTTTGAAAAAAACAAATACAATATTTTTTTATTTAAAATTATCGGATTTAAATTTTAATCACTAAAATTAAGAGTTCAACATTTTAACTATCTACATATTATTGTCATACGAGCTAATGCAATTTTAGCCATTATAACATTGAAGTTTTTTATTTAATATTATAATCGAACTAAACTGAATCGATGTAATAAAAAATTCGAGCTCAACTTGAAATTCAATACTCAAAACTTGATTCAAGCTAAATTGAGTTTTAATTTTTAAAACCAAATTTTAAATTTTAAATTCGAATTCAACTCGAGATAAAAATCTTGTTACTTGAACTCATTTGATTAAACTTGTTTATAAAATAAAAAAATAAATTTGATTTTTATATTCAACTTTAAACTCGATTATTTGTATTCAAACTCAAGCTCAAATTCATATATATATATATAATAAATTTTAATTAAAATAATAAAAATATATATTAAAACATAAAAATTCAATTATGTTAATGAGCTACTTAAACCAAATATTAAAATGCTCAAACTTAATTCGTTCAATAAATTGAGCTGCTCAAGTTCATCTCGACAATAATCAAGTTAAATTCGAGTTTTATTTAAATTGAGTTCAAATAACTTGTGACTATTAATGTATCATTTAACCCTGTATTTCTATCCTCTTTTAAAAAATTCAAAGGCGCCAATTGAGATCAATGGTTTGATCTTTGTTTGATGCACACGAGGAGTAGTCAATAAGAGCTTCAAAATCATGATCATAGTCAGCTTTGGTCTTTCTATCTAAGATGCATATATTTACAAAGGAACAACTCTAAAATCAAGTTTGAAGAGAAAGTGATGAAAAAATGAAATTACACCGGAACAGTCACTTGTATTTATATTGCCACAGCATTACAAATGAATGAATACAAGATGTTTTACTTGATCAAAAATAATATTTCCGCAAAAGACTGTAAACGATTAAAAGCCAAAGGACCAAAATTCTCTTTCTTTCTGATCTACAACTAACTGAATTTGCTTTATAAAAGAACAGTTTATTCTTACACTGTGACGGTGAACAAATAGAGCTTGAGCACAACAGCCAGCGCCAGCTGCAACAGGAAGATGCTAGCAACGATCAAGAACCATCTTTCTCCAGCTGACTTAATATGAGCTTTGAGATTAAGTGCCACAAAAGTTGCTGACATGAACCCGGCTACACCAGCTATTACCCATCTGAAAATTTCCAAGGGGACAACAGATAGACACTGCAACCAAGTACAAACAACGATTTTAGCTAAAAATGAAGTTATAGCACATTGCTGAAAGCTTCTTATATCTCACATCTAAACTTTATATAAAAAAGTTGTGTTGTTAAATGTTAAAATGTTCAGATGTTAAGCCACAGCATAAAGAAATCACTAAAGGTCCAGGCGTTAGCTTAACAGTGAAAAGTTTCCACACCGAAAACTTAAAGCATTAAGGTATTTTTTCTTCAGACAGTTTTCTCACATTTTTTAATGCTTGGAATCTCTTTAGAATTTGGGGATAAAGGAGGTGGGGCTGGAGGGGATCAACTTAGACCTTTAGAAAAATACTTCCAATGAAAGTTTATCCAAGTCCAAAAATTAAAATGCAGAAAGACGGACAATCAATCTTATCTTGTCATTCAAAGAACAACATTCAAAAACCAAAGAACTTACCAGTGCTGGAATATAGACAAATAAGGAGTATCCATACAGACAAAACAACTGGACAAGGCCTGATGGTGCTGAGAAGTACTTGAGAATAACATACAAGGCAAGAGGAACCACAGTTACATAGCCATAGAACACACCAGCAGACCATGTCACCAGATTTATGTCATAATTCCATTCTTTTTTCTCGAGTTTGTGTGCTATATATGTCACAAATGTCCCAATAGATGCTGCTACAAATATAAGAGTGGTGCATATCCAGAATGGTCCATATCTGCACAAAATTTAGCATTTTCAATCATGCATGTTCATACTCATAGGAAGGGACAAAGATTGGTGCAGAAGAGGACTATTTCCATCACATGAAAGTTAAAGTTATTAAATTATAGTGACAACAAGGCAAAATCAGATTTTCTAAAACGCACACTTGTATTTCATGTCTAAGAATTATCCAGAACCAAGAAACTAAAGCCTGCCAATGATCAACTCTTTTTTCTCTTTTTTCCAGTGTTTTTGGCACCCATACCTAAATAAGCGTTTTCTAATCATGTGAAATAGAAAAGAAACTTAAAGTCTCAAGCTTAAATAATTTCCCATTATATAGATTGAACAATTATTCAATGCTTAGCTCACAGCTCTATTTAAACATAAATGAGTCACATGGAGAAAACTCACAAATCTGGGTTGGTAGATGTTTTTTCTGTAAATGTTCCTCTAAATGGAAAGAGTGACTCCTTAAGTCTATCCAAAACATCTACGGTATCAACATCAAAGTATGGCTTGTATGCAGCAACTGTGAATGTACGAAACCAGCCACTTCCTTGAGGTTCATCAGAGCCACCAGCAGGTCCAGAAAATGAATCTGCCTCAGATAGAAATGCCATCATTGTCACCAACATAATAACAAATATTGTTCATTTGACAAGCTAATTAGATTTGTCATTTTAACTGCAACATAGCGGAAATTACATTTAATCTATTCAATCTATTTACTTTGGCTCAAATATTTGATCTATTTATTCCTATAGTAGCTATTTCAAATGTGCCATCAATGTTACGCATGATCCTTCCCACTGCAAAAACTTTATAAAACCTAATCACGCAATCACAAATTCATTCACATAAAGCTAACGTAATTAGCATACAAAATGCGACTGATATCATGAATTGTAGATATGCTACACCAGAATAAACAAATCAAAGCATAATCACCATAAAAAAAATAAAAGTAAAACGTAAGGCTTTCAAATCAAATAGAATAAAATATACCATCGGCATCACGAGGAGGTTGAATTCCACCAGAGATCTTCCCCTGTGCACCTGATGGTGGAAACGTATGAAGGCTCGAATCTATGAATTTAAATAAATAAATTAATTAATTAATTAATTAAAAAATCAACTATATCAACAAATTAGCTACTTTAAAGCTATAACAAGTTAACAACACTAAAACACTTCATTATCCATTAGAACACACATCCAATTTTCCTTTCCTTTCCTAAATTTTCCTGCAACCAAACAAAAAAAAAACTACAAAAATACAAGAATTCAAATTCAGATTCATAATCTGACAATTAAAAGGAAAAAAAAAAAAGAAAAGGAAAAGAGCAAGCACCAGTGAATTTGACGGCGACGTGGCCGGGATCTGAAACCGCCTGAGAAATTAAGGATTGAAAGAAGAATCAGCGAACGAGATCTGATTAATTTTAGCAAAAGAAACAAAATTTGAATCCTAATTAAGAATAACTAAAAAAAAAAAACAATAATTTTGTAAAGGTCAAACTTACGGGAACAGACCCAGAAACCTTCTGATTATCAATACTGGTATAACCTCCTGACATCATCTTTTCTTCTCCTTTCTGATTCTCTTTGCTCTCGCCGATCTCTCCGTGTTGAAGTCGAGAGGTTTTGTTTTATTTGTTTTATTTTTCTTTTTTATGGATTATTATTTTGTTTGTTTTCGTCTTTCTTTGAAGAGCGAAAAGTTTGGATTAAGACAGAACTCTGAACCATGGGTTGAGGGGAACTGGCCCATTAAACAAATATATAATATTTATGTATGGTTTGGGTCTGCAGACCGCGTTGGGCTGGCCTCCAACTCTGACTATCAATGTTATGAACTTTTATTTCGATCTAATATTATATAAAATATTAATAATTTATATATTTATATCATATTTTATATAAAAATTATTTATTATAATTCATGTTAATAAGATAATATAAAATATATTTTTTATTTTGTTAATCCCATCTGCAGGTTTTGCTAAAACTTTAAATATTATAATTTTTTAATTTATTATATATATATATATATATCATTTTATCATATTTTAAATTATCAAATATATTTTTACTAAATATTTGATTTTTTTATAAAATAAAAAACTTTTGTTTGAGCAACAAAATGTCAACCTCTTTCCACTAAGGGAACGCTTTCACCATTGAAAATTTGATATTTTATTTCAAAATGTTAAAAATTATATTTGTTGATTCTCATATATGCTTAAAGTTTACACAATATTTTATTACTTTATATCATATAATTTTTTAAATGATAGTTGAAATTTAAATTTTAAATTTTTTTATTTTGAAAACAATTTTAGTAATTTTAAACTAATAATTCACTCATTTTAAGAAAATAGAATTGGATTTGTGAATGGATGGTTAATATATTTTAATGGTAAAATCAAGTTATTCACATAAAAATATTATTTTGATTTAAACTTCACATGAAAAGCCAAAAATGAAAAAAAAAATAATATACAAATTGCAAATCAAGGTTAAATGAAATCTTATACAAGTAGACTCAATTAGATTTTATTGGTTTGTTTTACTTTTTTTGTAAGCTTGAGTTTCATGTTCAAGCCACTAAATCTAATTAATAAAATAAATACACATGTATTTAATATATTTCATGATATTCTATTGATATGTTTGTTTGATATACTTTTGTTGAGGAAAACAATAAAAAATATTTCAATGATCAAAAGGATCTTGCATATCGGACCAAAATGGGGTTCTAAATCAAATCATGGCCGTCCAGAAACCATCTTAGTATCAACGGCCACGATCGTCACAACAAAATAAGGCGCCTCTTCAACCCAAAACAAAGACAAATTAAATTAAACAAAAATACTTAAAAAAAATTAACAAACATTTTTTTTCGTCCTGGAAGCTTCTTGAACTTTCCCAAAACGAGCGCTTCCACCCCACCGCTGCCCCCTCGTAGGCTTTTCGGCAGCCTCCCTCCGCAACCAAAACGAAAAGCCTCTCTTTCTCTCTCTCTTTCTTATCCATCTCAATCTTCAGGTTATTTACCTTCCATGCGACTCCCTTACCCATTAGTTCCATTTATTGTTTCTCAAATCCAATTTTTTTACGTTTTTGACACTGCACCTTAGCTATTTCCACTTCACTTTCTTAAATCTCAGATCGAATAAGGTTTATTTATTTGCCTATTTATTATTTACTCTTTTTTGTAGTTTTTTATATAATTTTTAATGGCTAAATCTCCGAATCCGGAAGGGAAGACCGGGGTTCGAATCGTGGTAGCCGGAGACCGAGGCACTGGAAAGTCGAGCTTGATTGTAACAGCCGCTGCCGACACTTTCCCGACGAATGTGCCCCGGTTGTTGCCGCCTACTCGGTTGCCGGAAGATTTCTACCCCGACCGTGTTCCAATCACCATCATCGACACCTCCTCGAAGTATATTTATATTCAATACTCTCTTCATTACTTTATTCATTAATTTGGAGCCCTAATTTTAACTGTTAAAATGAATTTATAATTGTAAATTTCAGTGTAATATTTTTAGCTGCGACTTAGCTTAGACTTGGTTTAACGCAATAAAGAAGAGGAATGTGATAACATGATTTCTTGTTTGTTTTGATTCTTGGCGTGTTTTTGGCTTAAGTTTTGAAGCTCTTTTGTTTTTGTGTGTGGATTTGTTAGTCCGGAGGATAGAGGTAAACTGGCAGAAGAGCTGAAGCGAGCTGATGCGGTTGTGCTTACTTATGCGTGTGATCAGCCTGAAACTCTTAACAGATTGAGTACTTTCTGGCTTCCGGAGCTTCGCCAAGTAGAGGTTTCTATCTTAGTTTGCATTTGTACCTGTATATTTGTGCTAGTTTATTCTTTTGATGGAAAACATGTTAAGGGGAAGTTAAGTTCTTAAAAACCTTTTTAACAATGTTCTTCCAGCTCTTAATTCTACTTCATGTGCCTGTGTTGGACTCGTATCAAACTCTACAAGGTTGACATGGGTATGAGGGAAATGACATTATGAATATAAGGAAAAACTCACAAAAAAATCATATCTGATGTTGTTACATTTTCAAATTTCCAGCATTTGAACCTGTGTCTGAGCAACTTAAATCTGCTTTCAGCAGCTAATTGGCTTACTTGAGATTTCACCATAGTTGAGTATAGACCATTACCTTTGCTTAGTTTACCTTGTAGATCATGTTGACTATTTTTTCCTGCACGAATCAACTTTTGCAGAAACTGAGGTAAATTTTTGTCAAGCAGGTGAAGGTGCCTGTCATAGTAGTAGGCTGTAAGCTGGATTTAAGAGATGACCAACAGCAAGTGAGCTTGGAACAGGTGATGTCACCGATAATGCAACAGTTTCGGGAGATTGAAACTTGTATTGAGTGTTCAGCATATAAACACATTCAGGTATTGATCTAGGCCCTCTTTTGTTTCTTTTTGCGGTTAATATGAAATGTTGATGTTGTAATCATGCTGGTAAAGTGTAGCTTGGTTTTAGCACCGATACCTTTTTTATTTACTTCTTGAATGTATTTGGGTCTTATTTACACATATTTGACTATTGGCATCATTATAGTTTGTTGTATGACACAAATTGATATTTTTAGAACACATTGGTACTATCAGGAATTGAACTTTTAAAGTATCTCCTTTTTGGTAGATCCCTGAGGTTTTCTACTATGCACAAAAGGCAGTGCTTCATCCAACAGGCCCACTATTTGATCAGGAATCACAAACACTGAAGCCACGGTGTGTGAGAGCCTTGAAGCGGATTTTTATTCTCTGTGATCACGACAGGGATGGTGCTCTTAGCGATGCAGAATTGAACGATTTTCAGGTTTCTCTTTTGTTCCTTGATTTGTTATTGTATTTTTCTTTTTAGGTGGTTGGGATGTGGTAGGGAGATGGGTTCACTGTTTCATGAATAAGGGTTGTCCTATTCACTGCTTGATGTATTGAATGCTGATCTTTTTAAACTTGAAACAAACATTTTGTAAATGTTAACTTAAGATTTCTTGTGCTTGAGCAACTTGAAGAATCTAATAATTTGTTGCAAAATCAGGTCAAATGTTTCAATGCTCCATTACAACCTTCGGAAATAGTTGGTGTGAAACGGGTTGTTCAAGATAAATTGGTTGAAGGAGTCAATGAACGCGGTCTTACGTTGACTGGTTTTCTATTTCTTCATGCACTATTCATTGAAAAAGGACGCCTTGAGACAACATGGACTGTCCTGAGGAAATTTGGATATAACAATGATATCAAACTTTCAGATGATCTAATTCCATATTCTTCATTTAAACGAGCTCCTGATCAGGTGATGCTTTATGTAAATAAACATTCTCTTTTATATGAAAACACTGAAATAAGCATTTAAAGCTGTTATTTCTTTTTTGTTCATTTTCAATTAGCATTGTCTGACAAATCATTGTTTGCTTACAATATTGTCCATTCGAGCATTAGTAAGAATTGGTAATAATTCTGTCAGCTATAGAGTGAATTTTTTATAAGCATTAGGCTTGGATATGCCTATTCTTATTAATTCTATATTCTGTTGCCAATGGAATGCCTAGCTGTGGTTTAAGTTAAGCTGTGCCTAAATTGCCTAATATTAGACCAATTAGTATTGTCCTGTTTCAAATTGGCATAACATACAACAATTTCATTACATTTGCTCTACTGTGGTATTATTTGAACTTCCATTATGACTGTTTGCCCTGCTCTGTTTTCATTTGTGTAGAGTGCTGAGCTGACAAATGAAGCTATCGAATTCCTGAGGGGAGTCTATGAATTGTTTGACAATGACTTAGTATGTATTAGTCTTGCCTGCATTTATTTTAATTTTATTTGCCTTACCTTTGACATTGTCCAGTCTACAAATATTTAATATTTGTAACTTTTTCTTAAAGTTTTTGGAGTTCTAACAATTGGAGTATTGTTCTTTTCAGGACAATAACCTTCGGCCAATTGAAATTGAGGATGTTTTCTCAACTGCTCCAGAAAAGTATTATGGTTTCCAATTTGAAATATATTAGTTCAATTTCTTTTGCTAAATTGCAATATGTGCCCTATTGAGAAAGCAAATTTAAGTGCCAGGATGTCTTTTCTGTCTCAACTTTTTCCCCTCTTTTTTCTTTTGTCTAAGAGGGGGTGGGGTGGGTGGGGAGCATACCAATTTGTTGTCCCAAAAAATGCAGGATAACAGGCTACTGCTGACTAAAAATATTAGTAGAAAATCTCCATGCACTGAAAATGAGGGGATTTTATTTTCAAAAAACTGTTGGAATAAGTTGTTTGTAACTATGAATTTTGCATATATAGATGATCTCTATTATTATATGTTGTGAATAGGACATTGTTGTGGAAAATGCTTGACATTTTTCTGTTTAACTTCAGCCCTTGGAATGATGTTCCATATAAGGATGCTGCAGAAAAAACTGCATTGGGAGGGCTATCACTTGATGCCTTTTTGTCGGAGGTATTTGTGGTTTTCTCTCTCTCTTGAAACTGGGAATACCATACTTTATTCAATCCATTAGAATTAACTTATTATTGATTAAGTGAAGTCATGGGAAACTTTTATGCATATTGGCTTATGAAAACCTTGACTTTATCTTGTTTGGAGTTTTGCAGTTCAACCATTAATGCATTATGGGAATAGTGCATAGCACCTTTGTAAACATTTGTGGCAGCTTATGAAAATGTAGTACTGCACTTTTTATTGCATGTGTGTGGATGGGCTATTTGGGTTGATCATTACTTTATAATTGTGCTACTATAGATCAGCATATTGTGTTATTATAGATCAGCATGTGCTCATGAGTTTTGTTGTGTACTGTAGTGGGCCCTTATGACACTCCTAGACCCAGCTTGTAGCTTGGAGAATTTGATATACATTGGATATCCTGGTGATACATCCTCTGCCATCTGCGTGACTAAGAGAAGGCGTCTAGATCGAAAGAAGCAACAATCAGAAAGAAACATTTACCAGTGCTTTGTTTTCGGTCCAGCAAATGCTGGGAAGTCTACATTAATGAATTCTTTTCTTGGCAGGTATTCATTAGAATTTCTTGTCCTGATAGCTAATTCTCTTTTCCCCAATTTTTTAAAACTTTATTTACTGTAATGTAGGCCCTATTCTGATTCATATTCTCCAACTGCTGATGAGCGATATGCTGTGAATGTTGTGGAACTACCTGGGGTAAGTGCCGTTAAATTATGCACCATGTCTTGTGATTGTATGTTGAAAGCCAGCCCCCAACTCAAAACACAGGGATGTGCTTTTTTGTGTTTTCAGGGGATTGGGTACTGCAGCAGAAGTGATGTGAACTTTCATGTATATGCATTTCGTGTTGTTTTAGAGTCTAGGCCATAAAGTGGGTTGTAATGGGTACACTAGAAAGATGTTGCATAAGGTTCAGGTGAAATAGTATTCGAAGACTTTACTTTCTTGGAGATGAAAAGCCGTCAAAATCCACATTCTCCTTGAAGTGTCAAAGCGATACCTTTCTGGAACTTTTGCATATGACAACTTATCATTTCCACGGCATATATTCCTGAGAACTTAGTTAGAATAGCAATTACTCAGATATATCTAGGTTGATAAAATTTCAAGCCTCTGTTAACTTTGTTGTTGCTTTGTGTGTTGATATTTCAGCTCTTGGGCTTAGTGTATTTTTTTTTCATTTGCAGGGAATAAAAAAATATCTAGTCATGCGAGAAATCCCTGAAGATGGAGTTGCCAAACTGCTGTCTAATAAAGAGTCATTGGCTGCCTGTGACATAGCAGTATTTGTTCATGACAGGTAAATTGAGGGCATGATTTATTTCGAAGTAGGATTTTAAATTTAGAGATAGCTGCCATTATTAGTTAAACATTTTCAGTTATGTGATCATATTTGTGCAAAAGGTTGTTCTCTCATTTGCTTTGTATGCACTGATTTTTATGGCAACTATATATAATTTTTTTTTTTGGTTGAATTTTGTAAAAATTCATTTAGGTGCATATGCGCATGTGCTATGTCATGATTGTCTGGCCTTTGCAGTTCTGATGAGTCTTCATGGAAGAGAGCAACTGAATTGCTTGTGGATGTCGCTGGTCATGGTGAAGATAATGGTTATGAGTTGCCTTGCCTCATTGTTGCTGCTAAAGATGATCTGGATTCATTTCCAATGGCAATACAGGATTCTACCAGGGTATTATTGTGCTTTAGTTGTTTTTTAATAATTTAATTTTCTTGCATAGTTAAGTGGATAGGTAGAATGTCAAACTTTTCGTTCAAGTTATTGAAGAGATACCATGTATGTTCATGTCACTGCTGGTCTCACTGTGATAGGATAATTGTAGAGCAAGTGCTTTAGGTTTTGCTTGATAGGAACAATGGAAATGGATGATGATGAGAAATTAGTTAATCTAGTGGTTAACCTACAAAGTAGGAATATCATTATGAATTTTAATCATTAGATTAACAAGTTTTCCATCTTTTTTACCTAACAAAGCTTTAGAGTTTTCATCTTGAAGAGCTGGACCAAAAACGTATTGTGTTGCAAATTTTGCTTTTGCAGGTTAGCCAGGATATGGGGATAGAGGCACCTATACCTATCAGCTCAAAATTGAGTGATTTCAATAACATATTCAGAAGGATAGTAAACGCAGCTGAGCATCCTCATTTGAGCATTCCTGAAACTGAGGCTGGGAGAAGCCGGAAGCAGTACTATAGGCTCATAAACCGTTCTCTCATGTTTGTTTCGGGTACGCTGATTAGGCTGGCATCCCACGACTGTTCTATTCTCAATGCACTTTAAGCTTGTGGTTCTTGAAAATATTTTTTACATGGTTAGATATACAGTTATGATCTGTATAAGCCTTATCTAAGATATTCAGATACTTTGACTTGAATGACATTGCTCTTTCTTTTTTCCAACTCCGCATTTTTGGAATTTCTCTCTGTATTTTTATACCGATAGTCACTGTGCCGAATTGTTAATCATTTTTAATGCTGTGTTTCACCTTTTGCAGTTGGAGCCGCTGTAGCCATTGTTGGATTGGCAGCTTACCGTGTATATGCTGCAAGGAAGACTGCCTCCAGTTGAGGGTTGAAGATTCATCCATCTCCAAGACAGACACAGACCATGCTTTCTCACATTTTAGCGACCCGGTAATATATGCTTTGTCAAATCTGTCTGTAGAAAAAAAAAGCTGCAAAATTCTACTGTCATTTTAGGGGTGGAAGAGTTTGATCTGTAAAATATTAAGAGAGAAAAATGGTTGGACAGAGTTGTTGTGCAAGGCTTGTGCAATAAAAATTTTGCTACAGATTTTAAACCATTTTGTTGCAATGCTTATTGCTTCGCTGTGTACTTTTTGTCAAACAACTTTGGGTCTTTGTTGTACATGATTAGATCTTTAGATCTGATAATTTAGAATAGAATATGATGATATGAGATAAATATAATTAAAAAATCAGATACGATTATGATAAAATTTAAAATTTTAATAATAATTATATAGATTTAACAAAATTATAAAGATATATTTTATGTTTTCGTTTTAAAATAAATTATTATATGTAATTTTTATATAAAATATAATAAAAATATAAGAATTTTATTATTTTATATTATATGAATATACGAATTTGTTAGGTATAATATTGTTGAACTACGATAGAACTTTGGGTATTTGATCTCTTAAGGTGACAGAGTTACAATGTTTATATGGTTCTGCCTCTGCGACCGGCGATTCTCGGTCGTCTTCTGGTTTCATCTTTTTTCGCCCAACCTCCAGGCCGATAGCCTTGAATTTGCTGCCCAGTTTGGTAGTCTAAACCACCTTCTCTTTCTATCTTGGAGCAATACGTCTTGAAGGTCCCAGTCGTAACATAAAGTCTGAAATCCAAACTGAATAAGAACTTCATCTCCAATCTGTTCATTTCTTCTGTGCTTACTCCTCCCACTCTGGCGTAATACGCATTGTTATGACACCTGCAGACAGCCTGAATCATTGGGTATACACAATTTAAAGTAAAACATCAACATGTAAAATCAAGTTAAGCCGAATTTGGGTTTAGTTCATTTCATTCGTGTAATTACTTTTAAGATGTATCGTTCTATAATTGCAACTTTTTTTTTTAATTTCAATTTACAGTCTCTTTTGTATAAATCAAGTTAAACGGTGACAACCAGGAAACTTTTGATATTTATATATCACAGTTCTTCTTTTTCAAGAAATGAAGAAAGTTACATCAAATATGGGGATGAAAAGAAACGCAGAAACACAAAATTCTAGATTTTTCATGTTTAGACAGAATTCAATGCATTAAAAGCATCTTAATCTCAGGAAATTGTACTACAAGATTAGAACATGTTTTTATTCAAGTGTAATAACTGTACTTACTGGTAATCCATAAATTTTGCAGCTACCATGACACTTGTAATCAGGAGACGATGAACGTTGAGTGATGTCAGGCAAGCATCCATTAGTTGCGTGAACCTGTCAATGTATATAAGGGCAACAACAAAGCAAGAATTGCTGCATTTAGAGTATTTGAAGATGCGTTCGATGTACTGTCTAATGCTCAAGGCGGGTGCTTTTGAACCATGGAATATGGTAATAACATCCTTATTATTCGATCCCTCTTGTAATTTTTCATTCCTTTGAATGGACTTTTCAATAACAGAAGACACCAGTGATAAAACTCTGGGAGCTCCAGGAACCAAATCACCAGACTCATCTAATCCTAAAGCAACATAAGGATCAGTCCCAACAGCCTTGCCTTTAGCCATCAATGTTCCCATGTTCAATCAAAGCTGCAAATGGCACGAACAGAAATAAGCTTATGTTTCATCTCAGCTTTATCGGTTTTGTTCTTTTCTTTCAGGGGAAGTCACAATGGAACATACTTATATTACTTTGGAAATAAAGGAAAGAACTTCATTCCTGGTGTGGGCCACTTGTGTTTGCGATTATTCAGGCCTTTACCTCATTCCCTTCCCTCAGGGAATAGAAGCACCCAGGAATAGTATATGAGCAGCACAGGAAGTATATCTGCAGCACATTTAGGAAAAGAAAGAAACATACGCTTATTAGAAAGAAAAAATGGAAGGCAGAGCACTCAAGTTGTCGAACCCGAGCTTTAGCTCAGTTAGTTCATTCAGGCACCATTAAGAGGAATCATCCTGCATATTTAAATTCAAATCTTGGCACCTGCAACCTCTTTTTGTATTCTTGCAATGCGGTCTCCTTTGTTAGAAAAAAAAAGCACCCAAGTTGTCCTTTCAAATCTTCAATAAAGAGTCTGCTGGCTGATAATAAACCAATCCTGAAACTAAAGTTTCCACCTTCCATTACATCTCAGGAAGGTATAGAACCATTGAAGAATCATTAGCAGAAGTAGAATAAAAGGTTTAAAAATTGTACCTGAATCCTGATGATCAGTTCAACTTAAGATTTCGAACTCTGATAAATTCAAAGAATTCTGTGTCAATTTATTCTAACATGAACCCCTTCTCCTTCAGGTGGAACAATAACATAAGTACATAAGTGGCTTTCTAGTGAGATTCCACTATGTAAGATGACAAATTAAAAAAAAAAAAAAGAACATAAATACCTTTCTTGAGCCAAATTGAAGTAGCATTTGCTTCAATTGATAATCATGATATTCCAAATTTGTGGAGGACTTAAATTCTCTTTGCATAGTCATGGTTCAACCAAATTGAAGGAATCTTGTAGGCCTAAAAGGATGAAAGTGATTTCCCAATTGTAATCTTAGATTAATTATTACCTTTTTATAGTCCTCCAAATGTTGGAACCTTTCATGGTGGCCATATCTTTTCTTTTCACACACAACATTTGCTCTCTAGAAATGGTTGAAAAGGTGGTCAAATTTGGGAATTGGGATAATGTAACTTATGTAAGATCCCAAATTCCTCAGCTGTCGGCTTTGAGATAAGGAATTTCATTGGTTTCTATTTCATTCCAAGCCAAAAGGCAAAGATTGGTGTGAATCTTAAAGAAATTAAGTAGGCAATTGCATGTAGATATATGATGATACAACATAAATACAAAAAAAAAGATACAAAATTGTTACAATTTAAAATTTTAAAAATAATTATGGATTAACAAAATAAAAAAATGTATTTCATATTTTTGTATCGATACGAATTATGACATATAATTTTTGTGTAAAATATAATACAAATATATAAATTTTAATATTTTACACAATATAAATACATAAATCGTCAAATCTAATTGCATGTGACTTTTATAACTATTGATAAATTGTATAACAGTTTTTTTTTTTTTTGCTTTCCAAATGTTTATCATTATAATAAAATTCATCAGATTGCAAGAAACCTTTTTTTTATTATTATTAACTCAATTAATCTGAATGAATAAATTATCAGTAATTTATTAAATGGAATAATCATGTACAACATTGGTCATGGGGCCATAATTCCACATCACATTCCTAATTTAAATTTTTTTTAAACAAAAAAATATATAATTACCAACTTTAAATTAATTTATTAATGTTAATATGGAGCAAATATGAGAGTTAAAAAAAAATTATTCAAGATCCCTTCACATTTTCCACCCATCATTATTGTAATCATATAATTATGGTATATATCATAAATTTGCCTAGGAAAAAAAAAGGAAGATTTGGATTTATAAATCCTTATTAAATGAATATCTGTCATATTTGTTTATCATTATATATAAAAGTAAGAATAATTAATGAATATCCCAAAATTAGTGAAAAACAGTGGCTGTTTCCATATAAGGCTATGAAAATCCCCCTCTCATTCTGATTGATTTCATACTCAATTCAGATGAAAATTACCATTTCTCTATAAAAAAAAATAATTTTCCATTTATGATTAATATTGTCCAATCTTTGAACTTTGCTGGCCCCCATAACCACAATATGGCTTATTAATCTTTTTTATCAAATTAACAAGAGAATGTTGAATTTTTTTTGTCTTATATTAGAATTTACAAATTTTTTTTATTTTCTGAATTACGACTAAAGTTTAAATTCAAGACTTAACTTTGAAATCGATTTCAGTATCATTATATTAGTAGAATATTATAATTTCTCTTAGAAATAAAAACATATATTATAATGAAATTCTTGTTATTTTTTGGTAAAAGATTAAGTTATATTCAAATTTTGTCTAATTTTATTTTTTTTCCCAATCAATTTACATAATTAGAGAATTTTTTTAATATCATTTTCTTTCACAACAAATTTTCAACCATAATTTTCCAAACTCCAAATTTGGTAGTCCAGCTAACCCTTTCCACATTTATTTCCTTAATTATATAAATAATTTTTCCTTGGAAGTCTCTTCTTTTCTTTTTCATTGAATGTCAAGAGCTCAACCCAAGTTCCAAAAATGGCTTCCAGATCCCTCAATTCCAACAAAAAACTCTTCACTCTCTCCCTAATACTTCTCTCTTCATCATTGATAATTCTTGTTATATTTTTCGGATCAAAATATAATGTTGTCGATATACTTAAACTCGAGACAGATCAGCCTCAAGTGTTCAAAAATCCTAGGTGGTTTGATCTTATTGAAGAAGAGATTAATGGTAAGAAGAAGATTAAGGTTGGTTTAGTTAATGTTAATGATGAAGAGAGTGAATATAAAATGCATGGTTCAGTTGTTAGTACTGTTCACGTGCATTTTAGTCACGTGTCTAAGGAAAGAAAATGGGAGGATTTTTTCCCGGAATGGATTGCTGAAGACCAGAACTATGACCTGCCGACGTGTCCGGAGATTCCCATGCCACGGCTGAGGGATTACCGGGACCTCGACATCGTGGTGGCTAGGGTACCATGTGAAGGGTGGACAGGTAAGGCAGGGTTGAGGGATGTGTTTAGGTTACAAGTTAATTTGGTGGTGGCTAATCTTTTGGTAGAGAGTGGTTGGCTCACGCCTGATGTTCACCAGACTGTGTATGCGGTGTTCATCGGCGATTGTGGGCCTATGCCGGAGCTATTCAGATGTGATGATCTGTTGAGGAAGGTTGGGGACCACTGGGTGTATAAGCCTGAGCTGAGAAGGCTGAAACAAAAGGTGCTCATGCCTCTAGGGTCATGCCAAATTGCTCAGCCATATGGAAAAACAGGTGAGTTCGAGTTTGCTTTTACTTCTGCTTATGTTTTTCTTCAAACAAAATTGTTTATGTTTAGGTTATTACTAATTAACGACGAAAATTAGCAATGATTCATGAAACCAAGGATACTTACAGGTTTTAATAGTTTTAGGGGAATGGGTTGGTGGCTTTCAAGTTTTACCAAAATTAGATATTTTACATTGTGTTTACTTTTGGTAACGTCTTGATTACATTACTTATAACGAGAATTCATGTAATGAAGGACAACTTTTGGTAAGGTGGCATAATCAAGTTTGACCTTGCAATGTATTTTTTTGGTAAAAAAACTTTGGACTAAATAAATTATTTAATTTTTAAGTAAAATGTGTCGTATTCGATAATTTAAGAATAATAATTATAAATCGTATATTCAAAATGATCATAATAAAATATTATCAGTTAAATTTAAACTTAAAATCTTTACATTAAAAAAATTACTATTATCGATTCAGCCAACCTCTTGTTGTTGATCTAGTCATGTTCGGATCTCAAACTTTGGCATAGAATGTAATGTGCAAGCTCAGCAAAAAAATTTCATATCCAATCTCCACGATCTTCATATGGTGTTTTTGGATTTGTTTGAGTCTAATTTTTTTTTAATCAAGTGATCATTTTAACAAATTCTAACGTCAAAATTATTTTTTATGAACATTTTCGGTTTTTATTTGTTGGTATTTTAGGTAAAGAGGCTTGGAGATATTATTCCGCAGACCATGCAAGGCTAAAAAAGCTGAAATACAGCTCATTCCATCAAAGGGAGGCCTATGTAACAGTTCTCCACTCCTCCGAAGCTTATGTTTGCGGTGCAATAGCTTTGGCACAAAGTATTATTCAGTCAAATTCTACCAGAGACTTGCTTCTTCTCCATGATGAAAACATATCCCCCAAGTCCTTAACAGGGCTAAGATTTGCAGGGTGGAAAACAAGGCAAATCGAACGTATCCGAAGCCACTTTGCCATGAAAGATTCATACAATGAATGGAATTACAGCAAGCTTAGAATATGGATGCTAACATGGTATGACAAAGTGATTTTTATTGATTCAGATGTTCTGGTTTTTGAAAACATGGATAGTCTATTCGTTTATCCTCAATTATCAGCTGCTGCCAATGATAAAACTTTGTTCAATTCGGGGGTCATGGTGATTGAGCCATCATTGTGTATGTTTGAAGACTTGATGCTGAAAAGTTTCAAGGTGGAGTCGTACAATGGAGGGGATCAAGGATTTCTCAATGAAGTTTTTACCTGGTGGCACAGGTTGCCGTCCAAGGTGAATTTCCTCAAGATTTTTAATGGGAACAAAAGTGAAAAGATCCCTGATGATCTTTCTGCAATACATTATCTGGGGCTGAAGCCATGGATGTGTTACAGGGATTATGATTGTAACTGGGACATGAAAGCAAGACAGGTTTTTGCTAACGATAAAGCCCATGAGAAATGGTGGCAAGTCTATGATGCAATGCCAGAGAAATTGCAGCAATATTGTGGGCTGACTGAGCACATGAATTGGAGGATAAACAAGTGGAGAAGGATTGCTAGAAATCTCAGGCTCCCTGATGAACATTGGAACATTGCTGTAACAGATCCTAGACAGTACAATCTTGTTCAATAAAAGGGGTGCCAAATTCTTGAAGGGAATATCAGAATTTATGTCATTTTGTAATGTAATAGACAGTCAGTCCTCTTTTCTCTCTTCAAATTCCTTTGTTTTGGTTTTAGAAATTATATGCAATGTAAGATTCAAAGTTTGGAACAAGGATTTAACTGATACCTCCATCTCTTTAAAAAAAAAAAGTTTTAGAATTTTTTTTTTTAAATAGAAAAAGCTAAAGATTTTGGAGAGCAAAGACATGCTGTCATCATTGAGGCAGCAGTATCTCTATGCTACCGCCAAATACTTTCTCCCATTCAATTACTACTATTATTTGGTGGTGGTGTAGTTCGTACAGTTATTAAAAGTGATATATAAATATATTTGAAGTTTAACTCTCTATACGTATAATTTTTTTTAATTTAAAAAATATATTAAAAATTAATGATAATATAATATAAATTATAAAAGTGATAACAATTCAAATTTAATTGGATTCAATTTAATTTTTTTAAATATTATATAATATTATAAAATTTTAAGATCTGATCCGAATTTTTATTTGATTTGAATCAAATTAATTTGAATTTTATCTATTCAGTTCAATTTGGTTTATCAATTTTTAAAATTTAATTTTTTTATTTTTTTTATATATTATTTTATTATAAAATTTTAATATATTTAAGTAAATTTCGATATAAAATTATCATTTTTATTTTATAAAAATTTTAAAAAATATATAAATATTAAAAATATATATATATTTCAATTTAATTTATTTTTTTTAATTTTTTACCTCTCAATTTAATATTCAATTCGAACTTAATATATATATTTAACATCTGAATTAATTTGAACTAAATAAAAAAATTAATCAAAACCGAATCAAATATTATAATTTCAAAAAGATTTTCATTTTTTTTCACTCATAATTAATTATTATTATCATGGTTTGGAATTGTTATTAGAAACGACAATCATGATTATAATATTTTATTATTAAAAAAATAAATCTCAGTTTTACATAGAAGCATTTTTCAAATAAAATATTTTATTTAGTAATTCCACCCTTTTTTTTTTTTCAAAATTTTGAACAAAATAAAAGACCCTTTTTTACTATTTTCTTAAAATAAAAAATTCATGGTCTTTTTTTTTTAAAAAAACCAACCCCACCTCTTCCCTCCTCTCTTTCTCTCTCCAAGTTCAAAGTTCCAACTTTTTTTCTCAATTACTTTTGCCGACCTAAATGAAAGATTGAAACTTTGAAGATTTAACTCACTCCAAACTCGCTGTTTCTCTTCCTCAACTGTTTTCAAATGCAAGACCTCTTTGAATCAGTTCGCCGTTCACTGGTCTTCTCCAAGCCTTCCTCCCTGTCGTCTTCTCCTCCTCCGATCCGATGGCGCAAAGGGGAGTTGATTGGTTCTGGTGCCTTTGGCAGGGTTTATGTGGGCATGAATCTTGATTCTGGAGAGCTTCTTGTTGTCAAAGAGGTTTTTTTCCCTTAGATTTTTGGATTCTTTTTGTGCTTTCTTTAATGGGTCTCAGTTTAATTTTGGGTTTAAAATTGAAACTTTGAAATGGGTTTGCATTGGTTTTCTATTTGGGGGTTTATTTTGAGCTTTTGTTTTTGGTGTCATTGATTTTAATGTGATCTCAAGTTAGTGGATATGAATTTGATCTCATTCGTTTCTTTGCTTTTGTTTTTGCAGGTTCTAATTGCAGCAAACAGTGCTTCTAAGGAAAAAGCACAGGTTTGATATTTAAACTTGGTTCTTTTGTATTTTTAGCTGAAAAATCAATAAATATCTTATCTAAAAGTAGACCCAGCAATCTAAAATACGATATAGTGATGTGATACTAACACAATATGAAAAAAGGACACGAAGGTAATAGGTTTAAAATTTTAGCAATGACTATATATGAGTTTAAAAAAAAGATGTATTTCATGTTTTTTTGTGGACACGAATTATAAAATGTAATTTTCATGTAAAATACGATATGAATACACGAATTTTAATATTTTACATGATACGAATACTCAAATAACTAGATCTATCTAAGAATAAATAATTTCTTTTTTCATATGTAAATGCTGAAATTTTCGGAGAATGACAGAAGCTTTGCGATTCTGAATTTAGTTTCACTTATTTCATTAGCTGCTAATGAAAAGTATGATTATGTAGGTGTATTAACTATGAAGTTTCAGTTCTTAAATCATAGAAAAGAAGTTTCCACTTATGTAAATGCTGAATGTAGGTGTATGAACTATGAAGTTTCACTTATTTTATTAACTGCCAATGAAAAGTATGGTATTAATTTAGCTTCTCATTGTTAATTTAATGAGGAATTGCCATAACATGACTGACCTTGACTTGCTTATTGTTATGTAAGTTTGCTCATGTCAGGGAGCTTGAGGAAAAAGTAAAGCTTCTCAAGAATCTTTCACATCCAAACATTGTTGCGAGTAATGATTGTGATGTTTTATATATTGATTGAATGGATGGACGATATTACCTTTTTTTTTTTCATTGGGACATTACTTTCCATCTTCAGAGATATTTGGGAACGGTGAGGGAGGTGGAAACTTTAAATATTTTGCTCGAATTTGTCCTTGGTGGATCAATATCATCACTTTTGGGAAAATTTGGACCCTTCCTTGAAGCTGTAAGTCTTGGATGGCAGAAGGTTTTGAATTTAGTTGTTTTTAATCCTAAGCTTATGTACTAATTTGTCTAACAGGTTATAAGAACATTTACAAAGCAGTTACTATTGGGCCTTGAGTATTTACAGAACAATGGAATTATGCACAGGGACATTAAGGTGCCTTTTTCCTTTCAGCCATTAATATTATAAATTGAAAAAGGTCCTTGGTTTCTTCTGTCTTCTCTTTTTCTTATGAATAAATAATTTGTTCATTCTATCCATTGGCAGGGGTCAACATCCTGGTAGATATTAAAGGAAGCATTAAACTTGCAGATTTTGGTGCATCCAAACAGGTCGTTGAGCTGGTAATTATGCAACTGGTCAACCTTATCTTCACATCAACAATTTCTCCATTGTAGAATGTATTTTTCTCCAAATCAATAATTTATAAAATCCCTTTTATTTTAACAGAGATGGTGTTTCTATAGGCTACTGTTTCATGTGCCAAGTCTATGAAGGGTACTCCACACTGGATGGCTCCTGAAGTCATTTTGCAGACAGGGCATAGTTTGTAAGAATAACTAGATCACTAAAAGAATCTAACTGTTTACATCTGTGGCAGTTCTCTTTGACATAATTAGAATTGGTTGCCTTTCTGTGAATTTGATTATGGTAGATCTCTGAAGTCCCCACTTTATATTCCTTGAAGCATTTAAATGAAATTAGAGCTATCTTTTGCCAGTCTTTACATGTGCTTCACATTCTGATCATTGTTAATCAGCTATGTTTGCAGTATAGTGTGACTCTGTAGATTACAATGATTGATATGTGATATAGTTATTCATAGTATATTGATGCACTAAAATTTACTGATAGTTTATGGATATAATTTTCAAGTTCTGCTGATATATGGAGTGTTGGCTGTACGGTGATTGAGATGGCCACTCGAAAGCCTCCTTGGAGCCAACAGTACCAAGAGGTACGGCATCTCTTTACATTTTAAAGATTTGTTCGATGAGGTGTTCTTCATCATTGTCTGACTTGTTTGTTCAGGTTGCTGCACTCTTCTATGTAGGGACAACAACGTCTCATCCTCCTATCCCTGAGCATCCTTCTACTGAGGCAAAAGATTTTCTGCTGACATGTTTGCAAAAGTATGTTATATTATTTTATTGGTTCTTGGCGTAAATATCATGGGATATATTTTCTTCCTTTTTTCTCTTCAAACCTGTGATGTATTAGTTATATAATTTTAGGGAACCAGAGTTGAGGCCAGCGGCATCTGAACTACTAAAGGTGATTGTGGTTTGACCAACATTTTCCTTTGTCATTTTGAAATTATATTCTGTCATTTCTGTGGGCTTAATATTCTCCATTTGTCTACTACGTGCAGCATCCATTTGTCACTGGAGGATCCCAGGACTCTAATCCTGTTTTGCATGCTTCAGTCGCAGTCATTGCGCTTGAACTGTATTGTATTGTATTTATGTGGTTTGTTTTTCATTTCCCCCTCAAGACTTCTTCTGAAATATATCTGTTTCATCAGGAGAATTCTGAAATCTCTTCATCATTACATGCCACTGACCATGAAGGCTTGTAAGTATTGCACTGTGCTTTTGCTTGAACCTGTAAAGTAATTGCATTGTCAATTGTCAAGCTGGAAAGGGTCTTTAACAATGGCATCAATTTTCTTTCCAGTCAAGTTTCAGCATGCCCTGACTTGGAAGATATCTGTAATTTGGGTAGTCTAAACGGCTCAAACACATTTGTTGAGAAGTTTTCAGAAAGCAAAGACTTGTGGAGAATGAACTGCAGTGTAAGATGATATGTGTCAGATTGACAAAGATGATTCTATAGTAAGTGAAGTAAGGTTTTGTTCTGCATCAGTGCTTGATAATGTTAACAAGGTAACTACGTCTATGCTTTTCTCAAGGTTCAGATACTTTAATCATTTGAGTGTTACAGGTGATAATTCATCAATCATCTTATTGTACTTAGAGTTCTGATCCCAATTGTGAAACTTCTCATGACTGGAAGAGCAAATTTGGTAAAGATCCTGAAACAATGCCAGTTGGTTGCCCTACAATTTGCGGTGAAGGGGAAAGATTTTTCATTTACTTGTGGGCCATCACTCTCTGAAGATGATGATGAACTCACTGAATCTAAAATTAGAGCCTTTTTTTATGAGAAGGTACTACTTTTAGCCCTTGTGTAGTCAGATTCTTTTAAATTTGACCTCACAGACTGTTGTGACAATGAAGTGTTAACTAATTTCTCAGGCTTTGGAACTAAAGAAGCTGCAAACACCATTATATGAAGAGTTCTACAACAGCTTGAATTTAGCAATTCCCCAAGTTTTGTTGAGAATAAACGTGATGAGACACCTCCAAATTACTTGAAATTACCTCCTAAAAGAGGATCCGCAGTCATGGTCCCATTGGGACCCCATTTTCAACAGCTGATGCTATTAGTACAGGAAGTCCAGGGAGTAAAAACAGCAGGCATGGGTCAAATATTGGCAATGCTAGTGACCAAACTCCACAGAACAATTCATCACCTCAGCATAGTGATTGGAAAGGGATTCTAGTTGATGGCCAGCCAGAACCGAGCAACCCAAGATTAGCCCAAGTTGATTGGTTTGTTGCCTGCCCTTATGTTGAATCTCTGTTGTGGAGTAATCTGAAATGCAATCATTTGCTACGTATAGTGTAATCTTCTCTGAGAGAGAGAGGAAGTGGAAAGAAGAGCTTGACCAAGAGCTTGAGAGAAAGCGAGGTAGATATAATTGATTCCTCTGTCCCTCTTCCTTTCTTCCACTCTTTTTTCTTTAAAATATGGTGATTGTTTCATTGAATGTACAATTATTTTATTTAGATTACTCAAGAACCCTTATGCATTCCCAAAATTTCACTGATGTCATGCTCAAACCAAATTCTGAAGCTACTGCTGCCCATGCCTGATAATTCCTTGAGCAACATAGCTTAGGGTTTTCTTCCATAGATGGCAGCTTATCTGAATTAGTCTCTAATTCATGTTTTTACAGTTGTATTGCCATAAGATTGTAGGAGAAATGTCTTTTCAACTAGCAAGATTTTCATGGTCCATTTTAGTTTAAGCAAATAATAGTGAAATGTTTGCAGAGATGCTGCGCCAAGCAGGTGTGGGGGGAAAGCCTTCATCGCCTAAGGATCAGGCCTTGAATAGGCAGAGAGATTGAACAAGGTTTGCATCTCCAGGCAAATGAGTGCATGTTAGAGGAATGGTGCCTCCTGAGAAGTTTTGTTTTCCTATCAAGAGTTCATCATAACATTTACAGTTTCATTTGAAGTGAGCTACTTCTGCCTCCCTTGAAAGCGGCAGTGACATCTCTTGCTCTCATCCAATTTCTCATTGTTCAACCAGGAAAAATTGTCCTTAGAGGTGATGTTTGTTACTCAAAATATAAATAGGTGATACTATATATTTGTTTTTCCTCTTTTCCCCCTTTCTGGGTTGTTTGAGGGGGTTTTATATGTTTCCTCAAGTATCCGGTGCATATTTGTTTTACTGATGTAGAATAATAATGATGAAATTTTATGATTGAGATATTGCAATTTAGCCAAAAGCATTTTTTTTTCTTTTTCTTCCCCCATTTTTCTGGCCAAATGGATGTAGAATACCTTGAAGTTTTGCTTTATTAATACTCACTCAGGCCAATTCAACCAAAGAATCAGACTCTTATCTCCCAAAATTTTACATCAATCAATAAAATGGAGAGATAAAATTCACAACCATGTCAAGAAAGTCCACTATGGGCATTGTTGAAAGAAAGAATATCTCCCAACAAATGTTTGCCTCAACTTTCAAAGCCCATCATGATAATCAACCAACAAAATGGGGAAATAAAATTGGGAAACCATGTAAGGAAATCAACTATTGACATTGTGAAATAATATCTTTAAACAGTTTCCTTCAAGCCACACTGATAAATCAAAGAAATGGACCCTTAAAATCTTACAGTTGAAAATCGAATAGGCATTAAAACTGGACGCTGTTTCAGTCCACTCATCGATCCATCACTTTTTTGCAAGCTTTTTCTTCTCTTCAATGGAGAGACCAATCTGTTTGCAAATTGGGAGGGCGAAAATGATCTAGCATCACTACTTTGCAAACTTTTTCTGCTCTTCAATGGGGACACCAATCTGTTTGCCAATCGAGAAGGCGAAAATGATCTACGTAGCTTGGAAGCAGCTGACACCTTTGGTGACTTCTTGCTCATGTTTGTTGATCTTGTGGGGGATAGAGAAACAACGGGTGGGCTCTTGATCTTGACTTGAAACTTCGAAGTTGATGGAGGAGACTTGATCAAGAACTTATGTGGAGTTTGCCTATTTCTTGCAATTACAGGAGACCTTGTCTTGGTGAACTGTTGTTGATGTGAAGCTGGTGTTGAGCTGAACAAAGGATTTGGGAATAAAACAGTCTTTTTATTCCATGGCCTATTCCTTGGTGACACCCTATTGACCATATGTCTATTGTTTTCCTTATCCAATTCCCTGAATTTGGGAGGAGAAACCTTGAAGTTGATCCTGGAACGAGCCCTTTGAAGAGATGGAGAGTCGGATTCTGTTCGAATTAGTTGCAGTTTGTTCTGTTTCTCCCTCTTTCTTCTGGCTCTGAGTTCAGTGTTTTCAGGCTGTGGTCTTTGCTTTCTATGCTCAGTCAGCGGAGTTTTAGGATCCTCAGCAGTTGTCTTGTTCTTGGTTTTATTATCAACTGCTGCTAGTATCTCTCTTGCAAATTGACTTGCTTGAAGGATTTCTCCCACTGTTTCTCCTACTAGCATTGCTGGCAATGACATTCTCCTCCATTCATCTGCATTAAAAGCTGGAACAATCAAATTATCTATCTTCTTAGCTTGCTGACAGAAACTGAACTTTGAAAAGAAATTAAAAAAAAAAAAAGCTTTTAATGCAGTTAAGATTATTTCATCAAATGAATGAGAACTTCAAACAACAATTCTCAAAAGAGGAAAATAATGAAAGAAACCCATTTGTTGTATCTGATCAGATTGAGAGATACCTCCTGCAGTGGCTGGAAACTTCCCAACTGGTGATTTCCTTGGAGTCGCATTCTTCATCCTGGAAATGGAAAAGCACCCAAATTTAGTATGCAAAACAAAAAAGTTGAGGCTTTTGCCAATGGTTAAAGACAAACAAAAAGCAAACCCAAATTAAAGCATACCTCAAAGACTCTTGCTTGCACCTGAGACTAGTCCTTAAGTAACCCCTAGTACTCCTTGGACTTAGATTCACCCCTGATATTACCTTTGTCCCTCCTGCCACTGTATACTGCAACTCTTGCAATCTTGCCATACATTTCTCCACCTTCACAATCCCAAACAAAAACCCCATAAGCCTAAATGAAAAACAAAGCAAAAAAAAAAACCCTTTTTCTCCTTAGTTGGTCAGAAAATGAAGTGCCCAACTTTACCTTCTTTACAGTTTCTCTGAGTAGGACAGGATTAAGAGGAGCCACCACAATTTTCCTTTGCTTTGGTGGGGTTCTTGCAACCATTATTGCCAGAAAGAAAAGAAACTTCAGCAGCCAATAAAAAGAAGGAAAAGGAAAATAAATGTGGGTCTTTGTCCAATGAATTGTTCCTGTTGGCTCCTCCGCTCCTCCTTTCTTTGTTTCTCTAAATACCCATCAAGGAGAGTTGATCTCAAATCTTGGGTTCGTTTCAGTTACTGTTTTCCTCTTCAAAACTCAAAAGATTTGTCACACTCTCTCTCTCTCTCTCTCTCCCCTCTCTTTGGAGTTTATCTGTGTAGTGAAAAAGTCAAAAGCTTTTGGTTTAAGATTTGAGTGCTGGCTAACGGGTCTCTTTTTCGCTTGTCCCAACGGTCTAACGCTATCTTCATTAGAAACAACGTACATGCCAACGGCTACTTGTATATGGTTTTTTCTCTTATTTTTTCAAAACATTAAAATATTAGGAGTGTTGTAGCAGAGGACCCTTGATTTATGGAATCAAAACTGCTCCATCTACTCTTTTTCAAGACATGTTTATCTCACGTAATAGAATGGACGAAAAATTGAATTTGAAAGCCAACAAAGTAAATTCACTTTTGTTATATCTTAATGATGACATTAACAATTACTCAGATGGATCCATATCACTTCTAATTCTTTATTATAATACGAATTATAATAAAAAATTACTTACGACTACTTCTCAATTAATAATTAACTTTGGGATTAAGATTAATTTATGTTAAATTTATTATTATGTGTTCTGCATGTTATATTGTAGGCTTTTTATGTTGACATATAAAGTAATGGGAGTGGATTTTTTTTTCCTGTTTAAAAGAAAATAGAGAGTAATTCTTTGACTTTTCTATCTGTTTCAATTTTGATATACGAGGCATTAATGGAAGCCTAGAAATCAAGGACAAATTGACCATATAATATAAGAATCAATGTACAAAGGAACAGCATGTGCTCTTTTGGTAATCTGTTAATAGGTGATCGAACGTTGAGATTCATTCCCTCTCAGCTGACGGTCGTAAGGGCAAAAATGAGGATTTTCTGTAACTTTGCATGCCTCTTAACTTGAGTGGACTCCACACCAAAGATTTCCGTTGTAAAGCAACAACGGTTGGATGCCTTGGCTTCCATGAACCTGCCTGTAGGGGACTCCCCATGAATTTGCTACTGCTTTTCATGGCTGCAGGTGTTGTCTCTGATGAGTTTCTAAACTCTGGAAATGGAGAAAACAATCTTGCCTTCCTGGGATCCCGCAATAATGATAGTCTATCCATTGTACCACCATTTTTTAAACCAGAAGCAGAGCTGTGGAGTGGTGTTGTCATGTGTGAATCTGGCCGGAGGGTGGCGATGGATATTCGCCTTTTAGGCTGAAAAACTTGTGTCGTAGTTGTTGGAGGTCTGACAGCAATGGAAGTTCGTCTCGGTTTCAAAAGGTTCTTTATGTTAGTTGGTGCCATCACAGGTTTGGAGTTGTTTTCTTTGTCATCTGATGCTGCCATGGACATTCTAGTTGTCTTTCTGTTTGTGGGCATAGATGATGCTGGGGGCATGAAATTGGTGATTCTTCGCAATGGTAACCTTAGTTTTGATGGACCCAGTGGTGGCTTTTTCTCCATTTTGGTCTTCTCTGCTGCTTGTTTAAGAGGTGGTCTAGTGGAAGCGGCAGCAGCAAAAGCTCTAGTTGCCTGCTTTAATCTGGTTTTCCGTTCCCCTGCTAATTGATTTTCAAGGTCACGAACCTGTCAACGAAGCAGGAAAAACATAAGAATCTTGATGGCTGATAAAAGTTCATGTTCTGAAAACGCTGTCCTACAACCCAACAGAGAAGCTCACAATAGTTACAACCAAGGAAGAACTGCTTTGGTTTGTTTAATTTAATGATAAGCACCTTTTCTTGGAGACTTTTGCATATATGTTCTCTGGCAGCCAGTCTCAACTGCAAGGACTGAACATTATCTTGCAACTTCTTTGTTTCCTTCTCATCATGTTTGAGCTTTTCTGCCTGTTAATTAATCAATAAACAGAGATAAAACAAATAGAATCCATACCCCAAAAGTTGGAGAGAAAAATTTTTAATTTCATCAATTTGCCATACCATTTGCTTGTACTTGTAAAGCTCATTGAGGTCCACCTGTTTGCGGGCAGGACCACTTTCAATCCCCCTGACTCGGCTAGCAAAATTCAATGAACAGAGGGTCTCCCCAAGGTCTGCATTACTTGGGCTGATCTGTACAAACATCACGGTTTTACAATCTCCCCCTGCATTTCATGATTCAGTTAGCAATAGCCTCGGATTGAAAGTTTGCCATTAGGCCACTAAACATGAATATATATCCTTCATGGGCAATCTTTCCAGATTAACTAGCTTCAGAGTTCAGATCAAGGGGTTCAACTTCCAGTGAGACAAAAGCTTACCTAGAGAGCTCTGTAGCATATGTGTGAGCTTTGAGTTCCTGGTTTTCCATGGAAAAGTATAAAGAATTAAAGTGTTAATGTTAGATATACATATTTTTTATGTGTTGTGCGCATGTATCGTGTGTGTATGCATGAGAGAGAGAGAGAGAGAGAGAGAGAGAAACCTGTAAGGAATATGGCCTGTTTTTGATGCAAGGGCAGAAATCACGTCACCAAGTGCCGAGAGAGATTTATTTATAAACTGGGATTCCTTCAACCTTTCACCTTCAACTTCAATCTTTCCCACACGCTCACTGCCAGCCAAATCTACCAGCCATAGGTGACTCCTAGTCTTTTGGCCATTTATCAAATTAGTTCCCCTTACAGTTACACGCAACAAGCTGCAAAGAGACAATTTTTTGGTCATTATAGTAAAACAGATATGTTTAGATGCACCATTGTTTCTCAGCCAATGTTGTTGAATAACAAAATTTTCGGATTTATTAGATCACAAAAAGTCTACCCTCTTAAACACAATTCAGAAACAAAACAAATAGAAAGTAATATATCACCAGTGAGAACGACTGCTCAATTCATTGGCGTTGGTGGCTCCCACTGATCTGACCCGGCTTCCAGACTTTAGCAGCTCCCACACTTCCTCTGTACTGTAAACACCAGCTTCAACAAGCCCTGGAACTTCTTGTGTCCCTTCTGCTGCTTGCTTGATCTCCAACCTTTATCAACATAATTAAGGACTTCAATTCGGACTTCAAGCTCTCTAAAACTGGGGTTTCTTAAATTACTCTTTATGAAACATTTTAACTGGAGAACGGTTAGAAATTATTAGATTTATTTTATTTTCCAATATTAAGGGTGTCATCTTCTCAACAGATTGCCAATAAGAGTAGATATTAAAGTTTGTGCCAATAGATTTCTTTCTTCACGAAGAGAAAAGTAAACCAATTGCCCGTAAGTGTTTGTTTTGCAACGAGACTTTAATAAGTGGCCAACCATATTCAAATTAATGTTAGGAACTAACCCTTTAGTAGGATGGTTGGAGTTGTCTCCTAGCAGGTCCCTTATCTTTTCATTGTAGACCTCCATCATACTGACGAATAGCTCATATTTCATTACACCACCTCTCTCTGCTGAAACTCGAAACAACTCCTCCAATGTTCTGTAGTTAACTCCCCTATTTTCTGGTGTTCCCTCCATAGTAAATGTCTTCCCAGTTCCAGTTTGCCCATAAGCAAATATGCAGACATTATAGCCATCCAATACAGAAGTGACAATTGGGTTTAGTTCGTGCAAATACAACCTCTGCATAATTTTAAAAATTAAAAAAAAAAAAAAAAACAGGATTAAAAACATATATAGTAAACTCAGTCAAGAGATCTCAGGTTATAGTAAACTCAATCAAGAGATCTCTGGTTACCTTGGCCATCCTCAGGCCTAAATACATGGTCAAACTTGAATTGCTTCTTGGAAGAATCAGAAGAAATTATCTGTAGCTCATTATCTAGGGATGAATCAAATTCAATTACAGAAGAGGACCCGTTCGCAATTTCAACTTGGTTTAGCGGTCTACATCTACAAAAAACCCTGATGTTTCCTTTAAGCTCAATCACTTCATTGTAAAGGCGCTTCCTCTCTGATGACTCATCCAGGTATTTCTTCTTCATAAGTTCATATTCATTATCTACACCAAACAAGAAAGAGAAAAGCAGTTCAAACCAAAATGAAAAACACACATCCAATACACTGGTTTCTTTAATCTATTGGGTACTTACTCAGAAGCTGAAGAGTTCCTACAATGTCATGGCCAGGAAAAGACTTAACTTGATTAGACAGATTCTCATGCACTTTCTTCAAATTCTATAACATTAAGTCATGGAAGTAATCAAACTCAATTTGTTGAACCACTAATGAGAACATAAACAAGAAAAAAAAATGAAAAACAATGGCCTATTCTGTTTTACCTGAACACTGTTACTCAAATTAATAACTTTCTGCAATATTTGAAGAGTTGGCCCCTGAGTTGAAGAAATTTCTTGGTTCACATCGGATATGGTATCTTCATCCATGGAATCTGTATTTTCTTCCAATAATTCTAAAGAAACAGCCAAAATTCTTCACATTAGTATTCTAATTATTCAAATATATAATAAACAACATAATTTTGTCCCAAAGATTAGCATTTGAAGCATACAAATGTACCAATAAATTACAACACATTTTCTAGGCAATGCAAAGGGATCATGAACTGTAACCAACAGTTGTTAATTAATTGAAGAAAAAGCTTAAAATCAACTTGATTCGTGCCACATATTCTAAGTTATGAACTAAACAAGCAAATCACAAGAATTATCTTACAAGTACAATCGAAGTAGAAATTTTACAGGGTTTAGAACATTAAAAAAATCCCACATTTCTTTTTTTTTTCTCCAATTTAGACAATACTTCATAGAAATTTGCCTAAATGATTTCTTTAAAGTAAAGAAAGAAAAAGAACTAACCAGTGTCAGAGTTCGGAGAAGTTTTTGAGTCGCAATTCTCCACCGTTTGATCTAAAAAAAAAATCACAGATTTGTTTTCATAAAATTGAAGAAGAAAAACAAAGAACATGAAAGTACTAACCTTTATCAAGAACGATCTGATTGCAACTCTCCAAGCACATTTCCACCGTTTGATACAAAAACAAGATCTTAATTACCACAAAGGAAAAGTTGAGGGACAAAATTTGCGATCTGGGAAGATAAATTGGGAGATCAAAGAGATGAGATCGAGAAATTGGCGAGAGAGCTAAGAGCGTTGAGTTTAAACCGAGGGGGCAGGGTTTTCCTTTTTGACTTGATTCAATTTGATTTCAAACGAATGAATGTGAGCCGTTCGATTTATATAGCTGTCTCTAACGGCTATTTCATCTCTTTTTTAAAGGAGCGTGTGCTCGGCATTTTTCAAGTTTGGGTTCGGGTAGTTATAACCTGATTAAATTATAAACCAAGATTATGAGGGTTTTTTTAGCGGAAAGAATGATATGATAATTTTTGTATTTATATCATACAAAATATTAAAATTTATGTATTTATGTTATATTTTATATGAAAATTATATATTATAATTTATATAGATACAAAAATATAAAATATATTTTTAAAATTTGTTAAATTCATATATATATTTATTATTAAAATTTTAAACTATGTGACATTTATATTCTTTATTCGTATCGTATTTATGTTGTATCATTATATGATGTGTCATAATGTATAGATCTGTAAAGTTTTCGTTAGACTTAACTTTAAGGAGTCACTACTAATTTTTTTTATTAAGATATGATTGATTACTTAATTAAATTATTTTTTTAAAAGAGAAATTTTAAATTTAATTTAGGTATTTTTAAAAGATAAATTTTATGTTTATGAAACAAAAACTAAATTCAAAAGTATAATTATGTGTGAGAGAGATTATAACACCCTCAAAACATTTATCAAATGAAGATACTAGTTTGATTTTATATTCTCAAACCTTTAAAATGTATTTGTAAATTTAATATTAAAAATTATTCTTAAAATTACTCTAATCATTTAGTGGTAATTTAAGACAATTTTTCATCTCATGAGTATTTATAAAGATTTGTATGGTTCCATTTTCTTATTCATTAACTTATTTTCGAAAAAATTATTTTTTTGAAATCAATTAATAAAATCTTTCAATCATTTAGTAAAACTTTATATCAATGTATATCTCTCAATCATTTGATAAAATTTTTTTTGTTAAAAATCTTTTTATAAAAATAAATGTCATTAAATTCTCTAATAATTTGATAAAAATTTAACAAAAATTTGAATATTCCAATTGTTTTTGATAAGATTTTTATTTTTTTTCAAAAATTTATTATGAAATTCTTCCTTTCGTTAGAATTCACAATTGAAAATTAAAATAGAATCATCCAATCTTTGATATGATTAAAAAAATATTTTTTTAAATAAATAAAATTTACAAATCAAATAAAAAATTAAAAATAAATTACATAAGCTAAAAATACTAAAGAAAAAAAATTTATGAAATAAAATAAAACAAAAAAATAATAAATAAATAAACAAATAATTATTTACCAACAAACAGCTCAGCTTGGGCAGCTGAGGGATAACGGCTCAAGACACAACAAACGGCTCAGTAAGTGTGGCTACAAGCTTAGGTTTGATGGTTCAGTTAACTGAGCAGGGAACCAGCTTTAGGCACGTAGGTCAGCCGCAGCACGGATCGGATTGGCCAATTGAAAATGCACGAATTTCTTTTTTTTTTTAACAGTTGAAACGACTTCGTTTCACGCCTCTATAAAAGGCAAAAAAAAGTTTTTCCCCTTAGATCTTCTCTTGTTCTCTCTCCTCTTTTCTTTTTCTCTGTCTCTCTCTAAAACGTTGGTTGGATTCTGGAGAATGATGCCGAAATGTAGATTTGTGTAAAAAAAGTCATCGGATACTGAAAAACTTCACCGAAATGTGACCCAAAAATTCAATCAATTTCTAGATTTTCCAAAAAATTAAAAGAAAAACTTATAAAATTCTTAAATCCCTTCTGTCTTCTAAAATTCCCCTGCTGCAACACTAGAGACTAATTTGAACTCTCTTTTCATTTCTACCTATTACTTGATTTTTTTGTATCGCTCTCTATTTTTTATTTTTTCTGTATTTTCTCTACTAATTCATATTCCCTGTTGATTTTGAGTTTGTATTTATAAGGCTTCAAATTATGAGAACCTTATACCAAAAAGAATTTCAATTTCTCTTTAATTCCAATGTCAAATTTTGATTTTAACTTTAAAATCCCAAAAGAAACAATCCTGGACAAACTCAACCACCATTGATTTTTTTTTTTTCATTATTTTTTCTATTTAACAAACCAAACAATAAAATTAATTCTAAACAAAATAAAGTGTCTATCGTTACGTTTTAGAATGTTAAGTTCAAAAAAGATACTGAGTTTTATTATTTATCATGTAATTAATAAACAATACATACATTGCCGTATATATGTATATATTAATTTTGCAAAAAAAAATATAATTATTTTAATAAAAATAAAAATTATCTTTAATTGGGGCATAATTATGTTTTAATTTTTGGTTATCTATACACCGGATAAAAAGAATCCCTAAAGGATTCTAAAGATGCCACCTGTCTCCTTTTTTTCTTTTATTATTCGTTTATTAGTTGTTTTATTTTTGACTTTGATGGAGGATAAAGTAATTTTTTGAACAACAGTTGGTTTTCTTGTTTTTGGATTTTACAGGTGTTTGTGTTGTTTATTTTCGAAACTTCTTTTTGTTGTCTATCTTTGTGTTTGTAGCAGACTTCTTCTGGCGTGTAAGGTACCTTTCCTTTTTTTTTTTTTTTATGAGTTTTTACTTTCTAGTTTATTTGGTTTTTGGTTCTTTTTTTTTTAAGCTATTTTTAGGTATGAATTTTTTCTTCTTTTGTTCTGCCATTGAATGTGAGTTTTGCTTTTCTTTTGGGTTTTTTGTTCACTATTTTCGTTCTATACATTATAAATTTTTTTTAATGGAGTTTCATTGTTCAATGGGTTTTTGGGTTTTGTGATTGGAAGTTTGTATGTTATCGTGGATGTGTTTTTTTGCAAGATTTTATTTTTGCATGTTGTTATCTTCAATGAAAATGAATTTTTGTTTTCTGTTCTTGACAGGTGTTTGTGTTGTTTATTTTCGAAACTTCTTTTAGTTGTGTATTTTTGTGTTTGTAGTAGACTTCTTCTATCGTGTAAGATATCCTTCTTTTTCCTGTGAGTTTTTATTTTCTTTTTTCTTTGGTTTTTGGTTTTTTTAGATGTTTTTAAGTATGATTTTTTTCTCTTTTATTTTGTCATTGAGTGTGGGTTTCTTTTTCTTTTAGATTTTTATTGTCATTATTTTCGTTTTATACATTATAATTTTTTTAATAGAGTTTTATTGTTGAATGGGTTTTGGATTTTTGTGGTTGGAGGTTTTGCATGATGTTTTGGATGTGTTTTTTTGTATGATTTTCCTTTTGCATGTTGTCATTTTGGATGAAATTGAGTTTTTGTTGTTTTTATTAGTTCTGTTTTTTAGTTTGGACCATTTTTTTTTTACGAATTTAAACAAGTTAGAAACTGCCTGTTGGGTTTTGATGTTATTAGGAATTGTTCATAGTTATAGCAAGAAGTATATAGGTTTGATATATTTTTGTTATGTGATGTTGTTGAGCATTATGGTTGTACTTGAAAATTTCGGTTTATTATCTTTTTTGTAATGTGATTTATGTGTATAACTAATGGAGAATAGTTGTTTTTAATAAAAAAATCAAGTTCAAGATGTTGAAGATGGTTTAAGAAAGGTGGCCATGAACATATTGTTATGGATATTGATTCCTATACCCAGGAAAAGCCTCCCTTTTATTTTATTTTTTGCAATGTATGAACACCTATTTGGTTTTTGGTTGCTTTGCTTCTATTTGTACCTGAGAATCACCCATCAAAAGAAAAACTAAAAGCTTTTTGAAAGGTTTTTAATCAAATAACTCAGCTGTAAATTTCAAAACTCTTTGATGAATGAAGCTTAAAAATCATAGTATTTGTTTAGATAAATGGAAAGAATGTGCTAGATATATATGGTAGAGTCGATGGATGAAGACAAGATCCAAGGAGAAAAAGGAAAGAGTTTTCGATTGGATAATTTTCCTTCCACTGCATGCAATTCTTATAAGAAAAAGAATCAGTTTTCCCATATTGTGAACTTCTGATAAAACCTTTTTACGGTTTAATCAGAATAATAATTACTGACAATTTCTTATTTTGCATAAATAAGAAACAATCAACACTTGAATTTTTTTTCTCTTACTACAGTTGTCAGAGGAGAAAAAACTAGGAAAGAATTTGCTATTTTACTGCAAAGATATAGAGCTGCTGTTGTTATACAAAAGCAGATTAAAGACAGGAATGCTAGGAAAACATTCAAGAACATTAATGATGCTTCATGCAATCAGGTAAGCATTATTTATTTATTTATTTATTTTTCGATGAGTTTTAATAATAAACATGCAAAGCAATATAATGCCTCTTAGTGTTTTCTTGAAACTTAAGTTCAAGAGAATTGAAAATGGCTCGGACTTCTGGCTGCCATGGTCGGGTCAATTTGAGGACAGAGATGTTTTGTATTTCAATAACTGGATTCTTTACGTTAAAGATATTCATATACATCAAAGTGCATTTCTAATACAAGTCCTGAAATTTTAAAAAGGATAGTTGGCAAACATTTAAGTATGTATGAAATTAACTACCATCCATAAGTGAATGTGATAAATTTGGTTTTGGCTACCAAAATTTAGAAAGACAACAAAGTAGGTTTAGATTAGATATTTTCTTATGTAACTAAATTTATATCTCTATTTTACAATTGTTGAAGCTTTTGTTTTGAGCAGAGATGAGAAGGAAAGGGAGTGGATGGTTCTCAACAGTGAAGAAAGTGTTCAAATCATCTTCTGAGGACTTCCATGTGAAAAAGGTAACTAATTTTTATTGGTTTTTGGATTTTTCCCTATTTGAGAGTTAATAGGTAGAATGGTAGAGTTATTTGCAGTTCAGTTGAAGATTTTTCAAAATGAATGGTTCGAATAAGTTGCTTTTGAACAAACATAATCATCATACTATAATTTTTCTATATTAGGTTGATGTTTGTAACTAGATAATCATAGCTAGAATTCTGCAGAAATAGTATTATCAAGTTAAGTTTGACAAGTTTGATTATTAATCCTCTAAAATGTATTTTATATGTTAATAAGTAGATATTTTTAGCTATATGTATAAGCTAATCTATGGAATGGATATCTTTATCTTAGTTTGGTTTTTTCTTTTCCATTTTTCCCGTCACACCAATTTTTATATAGAGGATTAAAATTCTATCATTATCCTCAGTCCATTTTCACTCCACTCTCCTTTCCTAGAAACTTACGAGATATGAGTTGTCTCTTTTTGATAAGGATGATTGTTTATATTTTGCAATTGAAGAACTTGACTGACATACAAATAGCTGTTACGGGAGCATAAGAGGTTAAAAAAGACATGGATATCAGTAGTTGGCCTTCAGATTTGACCTATGAACAATGGGTAGCACTCCCAGTTTCTGGTGCATGACCATCAGCACGATATAAAGTATTTTGCTTTTAAATTGTAAAGCATGCACAAAATCATTGTGTCATTTTATATTTCTGTTTTGGGTTGTTGAATCATGTTTGTTAACCATTAATAAGGTTGTAGTAGTCGAATTTCTTTTAAGCCCTTAGCTTTTTCTGCCTTCTCTATTATTCCATAGCTAGATGCTTATCATTTTTTTTTTTTTGGGCTTTCATTGTAGCATGCTGCAACAGTGGTTGATGATAAATTATATATCACCGGAGGCAATTGTAAAGGTCGATTCCTATCTTATATCCAGGTTTTTCCACAGACCTTAATTTATACATATTGAAGTACTTTTTGTTTTTTATGGTTTTTGTTTTATTTTTATAGAAATATGTTGATTTTGAAGTTGTTTAAGAATCTTTGCTACAACAAACATAGTAAGTTTTATTTCCTAGCATCGCACAAGGCTTTCCACTAGTATATGTAAGAAGCATTTGTTTTTTCCAAATTATAATGAATAAGAAAAAAAATATATTTATTTTTTAAAAGTAAATGATAAAACTATATATATTGATTTTTATTTATATTCTTTCACATATTATACTTATTTTTTTAATTTTTTAAATATATTTTTTTATTAAAATAAATGATAAAATTCAATATTTTAATTTTTATTGAGTATGTGAAAAATGGTGTAAAAAATTAGATCGATCTGAAATAAATCAATTTTGAACTTGATCAGATTCGGTTTGGGAGATAAAGAGAATCATGAGGGAGAGAGAGAGAAAAGAGAGAACGGAGAGAGGAAAAAAATAATTTTTTAATTTTCAAAAATAAAATCTTCTCTATTTTTAATGCATTAGGAATTATTGACAAATAGCTTCCACAGCTAGCAAAGCTGAGGTAGTCACTTTCTTCTTTGTCAAGTTTCCTACCTTGAAGAAGCTGGTTAAGAATGCTTGCAGAAATATCAACAAAATATCTTTGTAATCTAGAATCATTGCACTTAACCGTTTATTAAACATGAACAAAATAGTGTTGCTAGTTAGAAGGTTTGGTTTCATTTACCTTCAATGTCTTTCCCTAGTAAACAACAAAAAAACTGACGTGTAAAGTGAAACAAGAAGCTAGGAATAAAATGAAACTAAAGAGGAATGCCCATGAATCAAACCTGCTCTCCATGGAGATTATTCGCATTCGGATTTTGGAACCACTTTCATGCACATACCAGATGGGAGATGCATACTAGGTCAAAGAACAGTGTGCCCCCCATGATGGTAGTTCCAGCCTTTAAGTGTTACTCTTGGAGTGACACCTCGAGGGACCTGGAAAGAGATCTTAATCGACATCTCCTCACCAGGCACTAGTGAAAAATAGTTATCTGAGTAGTGAACTGGGAGTATTCTAGTGTCTTCTCCTTCCTTGTGATCCGTGTTTGAAGCATGAATCGAGAAATTAAGGAAGAAAGCAACTCCGGCATCAGATCCGTTTATCTCTGCAACTCTCAAACCATTAGTTTCCCTTGAAAATTGTCTGCAAAGTCTCTGAAACAAACCTGCCTTTTGTTGCTCCTCAGTTTCATCATGAATAGGTTCAAGTGAAGCCATATCAAAGTTATCATCATCATCATGTCTGCTAGCATAATTGTTCTTGTAGGTTAAAATTTTGGGATCAGGCTTCTTTGATTTGTTTTGCACGTTCATTTCAATTTCATAAGAGGAGCCTTTGATAAATATCTTTGATGATATCTTAAGAGGTATTCTCTTGTTCCGGTACGGTTCCAGCAGCTTGTAATCTCCACCAGAAAGATGCAACCAGTAAAAGTTCCGGGATATAATGCTATAATCTGATACGTGGTATAGTTTGAGAAGGAGAAAGTAAACTGGCTTTGGGTTTTTAGACTTCGGATACTTCATCTCACTAATTGAAACTACTTTCTTTGGAGGCAAGGAAAGCTTATTGAAAACTTTATAATACGGACAAGCTCCTTCAAGATCCCACACTGATGCTTCTATGGCGACGTCCGACAATTCCTCTGACATGGTATTGACCGCCTGTTCATGACAAAGGAAGATCTAGTAAGAATCCAAACTAAACAACTAGAATATTATTGCCATGGCACTTACCTCTATAAAATATGTAGCAAGATTTAGCTGAACATGAATTGGCTCAGCAGCACAGCGACAACCATAAAAACCTGCTGTCTGGTCTAGGAGGTAATCATAAAATTGACCTCGAAGACCTGACCATGGATTCTGAGTCTTCCAAATCAAAACCCCAGTGTATTTGCTCCACATACGGGAAGTCCAACCCTCTAATAGAGCTCTATACTGAACGTAGTTAACAAGTTGAGCCTGAGATAATCATTTAAGGAAGTCAGATTAAAAACAAAGAGAACATCAAATGCATTCCCCATAAAAAGCAAAGGAAATTCAGGTAATACCTTCAAGCAAAAATCATCCAGATCCTTTGGGATCCCATACAGTTCGATCTGGTCATGAACCTTTCCAGGTTTTGAATAAGGAATGTATTTATGGTATACCCAAATGGGATTTGGTACTTCTTCTGTGTAACCATTGGGAAGCTTCTTAAACAATGGAATTTGCCAACCCTCTGGAGGCATGGTTGCTCTGATTGTAGCTGCAACTGGCATTCCTACAGAACCAACCTCAGGGTTGAAACCATATTTGTAGTAATCATCCTTAAAGAAGTCTTCAGGGTTTTGGATTTCATAAGGGCCATCAGTGAAGTCTCCCTTTCCATTAGCAAAGCCATCCCACATGGATCCTTGGATATAAACACGTGTACCATCCAGATATTGGCTAGGGTCCTTGAACTCTGTGGACAATTCTTCCACAGATGTTGCATTTTCACTGCGGTTCTCAAAAAATGGATGCAGTTTCAGGTCATCCTTTAAAGCTGTGTTGATGTCAGCTGGTGGAACTTGTTCGTTTCCACCAACCCAGAGAGCGAGACTAGGATGGTTCCTTAAAAGCTTGACAGTATCTCTGGCACATAGCATGAAAAGATCATGGTCGAGTGGGCCGCTTGGATTTGATACTGGGATACCTCTTCCATCAACATCACCCGTAATCCAAAACTCCTGCCATACCTACAAAATTTTAAATTGGTTATTTCCAGGTTAATCATGTGCACTTAACATTTGAACAACAACATGCACAATGAAGCAAGGGGAGTTACACACAAGCTTGAAGGAGTCATGATGCCCCCCACTTACTGCAAATCCCTAGTTTATTTCCTTTAAGAAGAATTTTTAAACTCACATACAAGCAGCTCATCCCTTCCAAAAATTTTCACATTTACAGGCATCCCACAAAATGAGCAGATGCACAAGCATATACACATTGAGAGATAAAGAGAGTTCAGAGCTTACCAGCAAACCATAAACATCACAGTAATGATAAAATTCTGGCCTCTCAGCCAATCCACCACCCCAACAACGAATCATGTTTAGATTCATATCTGCATGAAATTTTATGTCTGTTTTGTAACGCTCCTTAGAAAGCCGTAGCAAACAATCTGACAATATCCAGTTACCACCACGGATAAAAATAGTCTGTCCATTTACCTTGAACAACCTATCAAAAGATGTGCAGAAATGAAACATATTATAGAAATTCTTGATTCCTTGCTTTAATATTAGTGAAAATTCGATTTCTAAAGTATACCTCCCTCCAGTAGTACTGTCAATATGAGACTCAATTTTGCGAAAACCAAAAAGATGGCGCCATTTATCAGACTCTCCGTATCCCTTCACATCAACAGTAATATTGACATTATACAGAGATTGCTTTCCCATGCCATTTGGCCACCATAAATTGGGTTTGTAGAAGAAAAGCTGCAATTAACATCACAAGCATTTGAAATAGTGTTATAGGTAAATGAAAAGAAACTTGCAGTAAATGAATGCCTTGCACCTACAACAACAGATATCCAATTTCAGACTGCAAAGAAAGAAAGAATGTTATTGCAGAGGAATTACCACTAGTTTCCTCTAAATAATCAAATTTGCTCTTAATGACAAAATAAAAAGGATAGTTGAAGTTTCTCCAAAAATGAGATCCAATTCAGTCAAATGTTGCTTCATATTCTCTCAAATGTATCCCTCCTCTTTGTATCAAAATTTAAAAACTCTCACAAATACTAATAAACAATAAAGAAGAAACTATTCATCTAAGACAAAGAACTACCTTTAGTGTAAAGAAGGAAGCTATAAACACATCTAAAAATCAATGAGACAGACAACACCACTGACCTGAGGAAATGTATACTGTATACGTGCTCCAGGAGGGACTGAAACTTGTTGAGTATGAAGATGCTCCATTAAGCAAATGCTTCCTTCAAGTTCTGTTGTCACTTGGATATTCAAAGAACACTCAGCAACCCAAGCAGTTCTGTTTTCCAATTCAGTTGTTGCATGCAAGTATACCCTCGTGTAATGGTCAAAAAATGATGAAACCAAGTGTGGATCAATTATTTTTACCGGCTGCATCCAAAGCAAATGCATCAACAAATGGCATTCAGATTAATCACCGAGTATCATAAAACAATGATAGTGAAGAAATAAGGGCACCATCAACTACTGATATTTAGGTTTAACAGAAATGAGTCTTTACCAGATAACATAACTACAAATGAAGGTACTTATAATAAACCCTGAGAAATTAGATGGCAAAATCTCCATAAACCAGGTAGAAAGGGTTTAAAAGCAAGATAAAGGAAAAAAAAGTAGTATAACACCTTAGATTTATGGCTTTGTGCAGTATTATACGTGCTCGATACCACTAGGAAATAAACACATGGTACTGGTTACGAGAAAGAAGTTTAAGTCTTATGCATGAATCTTACCCCAGTAACAGAAATTGAGACTTCATCCCAAATACCAGTGTTCCTATCCCTGAGACAAGTAGAGGTCAGATATGTAAGATATCAAGTTTTTTATTGTTCAGAAAACAACAGTGGACGCTAGCTACTAGTTGAAAAACCTTTAAACCGATACACTTTTAGAAGAAAAGATCATAGAATACCAAAAACTGTAATCTAATCATGTTGATTTATCTCCTCACGCTTTAAAATTGCATTATTTTTCTCCCTGTATTACAAAGATTTTGCTCTTATGCACTATAGTCTATATAATAAAAGTAAAACTGACCAGAGGATTATCATTCATAACTCTATTTTGCTCACAGAAGTTTCATGGGACCTTTATCTATATGCTTTCGATACTTTGCTGCTCTGTTCAATGTACCCCAAATAAAATTGTCTGGCAACTGAATCTATCCTCTTTCATATCCATTTCAACTGATGAACAAACCTTTAGCTCATAATTCAGTCTACCCAAAATAATACAAAAATTTACAGTGCCACTCCTAAAAGGAGACTTCCAAAAT